TCGGCCTTGAGCTAGACATGAATTTGAAAAAAGGAACATGCATGGATGCAAGTGAATAATTTTGAATTGTGTGGGGGATACACTGAACATTTCATCCATTTAAAAATACAAACAAGTACTGAACAGCCGAAACTTTGGCCGGCTCGTCATTTGAAGGTGTATTTTAAAACTTATGCAAGAAGGGAATTTCGATGGAAGAGGAAATACAATTTGATGAATTCTGGAACTCTTAGCTCATAAATCATTCTACACAATCAAAAATTGGTGGTTGCGAAGCATTTTTCTCGCGACTGATTTCCGCATTCTAAGGTTCTGCCCCTACAAAATTATCAGTAAGAAAATAGCTTAGAGGAATTGATCAGAATTTTTGGTCCAAATGTAACGAGACAATTTAACTACATAACGATGATGAATGAATTATTTAATTCCTCTCTTAGCGAGATAATTTTGAGCAAGTTCTTTGATTTCGGCTATGTAATCGTAGTGTAATAGCAACTTGAGTAAAACATGATCTCAAAATGAAATATTCGTGCTTTTGGCTTCACTAGATGAGAATGCTGTCGCGCGGAGGAAAAACACCATATGAACATTAAAGAGTTGCCAAATTTCCTTCGATAAAATTCTTATTTTTGTGGAGAGTTATGAATATTTTCTCTTGAAGTTTTCAGATGATATAGGTCTGGTCGTGAATAAAACTCCCTAAGGAATTAAAGAAAAAAATTCCCTAAAAATTTATATTTTATCAAAGGAAATTTGGGAACGTCTCAAGGCTCATACTGCGTTCTTTCTCAGCACGGCAGCAAGAGTCTCGATTTTGGCACTAAAATTATGAAGACAAAATGATAAAAAATGATGACAAATTATGATGATCATGATGATTTTTATTGATTTTATTGAATGAAAATATATGCATTGAAATAATTTTCAATGCATATATTTTCATTCAAGTACACATTCTTAATGACTTATTTTCAGAGACATTATGTAACAGTCTGTTGGATTGTATAAATGAAAAGCCGACCAAAGTACGAGAAATTGAGGTTAGTTTTACCTTTTTCTCATATTAATCTGGGGTGAGCATAGGAAGGTAGGAGGCCAAATCACTGCCTAAAACAATAAAGTAAATCATTATTTTTCTGAATAAACGCCGCCACAAATGTTAGATACTACATCAGTGACTTCCCCAAAGTTAATCTACACAAGAGTTTTAACCTTTCAATGCGATGCCTACATAAAGCACGGATAGTTTTATAACTCTTCCCTTGACCCTGGGGTGCGCCCCCTGGCCACCTTGCGGTCCAGCCCTTCAAAGCTCTTCGCGCCTCAAGCGTAATGGGTTACGCGTTACACTTATGATTTTATGTTAAAGGGTGAGATTACTACTTATTAAGGCATAACCACCAATTCAGTATGTCTTATACGAGTTAAAGAGTATTTCAGAGTTATCTTGACAAAATTATACACAACAGTTACGTTAGAAATTCAGTTACTAACTTCAGTTAATGACCAAATCACCATTTGCGAACGCCTAAGTATTGCGTCCTTCTCATACTTTTTTAGTTAGTGTATGAATGTCGGCGCGAACTTTGACGTGGCCAAAAGATTAGGAAACTAAAATTACTCCCATTTATGTATAAGATGCGCTTCCAAAAAAACTTCTTAGGAAGTATAAAAGAGTATTTCTCCAAATTTTAAATGTAATGGATCACAAGCTGTCGAAATATTTACAACGATTCAGCAAGCTAGCATCAAATGTGGATGCAAATTTAATCAACCGATGTAAAAGGGATTAAGCCCTTCAAATTTCGTCGCGATTCCGATACAATGCCTGTCAACCAATACATATAATGGGCCTCTTGCATAATTTTTTTATTGCTTGTATCGAGAGAAATAAGGATCCTGATATCATAGGAATTTTTCCGGTCTTATTTCGCCACCGGGAACCCCCAACAAATCAACCTAAAAACGCCCCAAAATCTGGATTTTCAAAACGGTCTTTTTTACGTGGTAGCGGATCCGTTAAGTGACGTCACAGTATATGACAAACCTGATCTCTTCAGCGTTTACAATGTCTTTCTCCATGAGGAATTGGCATGCCGCTTGTTAAGAGACCAGCTCCTCGATTGTTGAATCGTTATCGAATGAACTTGATCGATAAAAGGCATTGTCGAGATAGGGATTTATCGATCGAGTTCATTCGATAACGATTGAACAATCGACCTGCTGGTTTGTCACGTACTGTGACGTCACGAGTCTACCGGATTTTTTCCCGCGTAAAAGTGACAGTTTTGGATGGGTCGGTTCCTAAAACAGCTATTCTTGAGTATGGGAGGTTGTTTCAAGATTTTTTAATAGCGCCATCGTTCTTTCCGTGTTTGCCATTGGAACCAATTGTATTACATTTTGCAATAAGGAACCACTACTTTCGGCTCTTCCATAAAAGCACGCATCTACATAGGGAAACCAATGGTACATATGTGTTGTTGCTGAAATGAGCTAGAAATAGTTGTTCCTTATTGCAAAATGTAATCCAGTTATCAGTCCGCAAATCCGCGCACCTTGCAACAGGCCAATTTTGGACTGATAAAATTTGCACACTCGTTAGTTTCATCATTCTCGAAAAGCCTCGAAAAACGGAAGGTTAGAATACAAAGTCGGGGGACGGGGAAAAATAGACAGAAAACTCGCACATACATGTAACCTCAGACTTATTTACAGCTCGCAGCACGTATTATCTTATTATTCATAAGCATGGTTTTCAAGTTCAACCGTGTATCTCAACTGCAAGCGGGAACGGTATTCAATGCTAATTTTCATGCTAATAAAATGCAATGAAACAGCAACGCCCTGTTCGGCATTTAATTGGTTTTCTCTCAAGTGCAAGCCCTCATTTCCAGCCAACGCAAAAAGCTGCACACACGTTACCTTCCATGAACTTACTTGGGTGAAAAAAAATAAAATTCGGCTTCTGAGGGATGTGCTGTCACCTTGAAACTGAAGTGAGATGATGAATGTAGCATCTGCTTTCTTATAATGTTGTCGGATTGTCCATTGTGACATCATTCATCTAAGCGGACGAAATTCGTGGCAAAAAAAACTTTTTTAGAACCTCTTGGAGTAATTTTTTAAATATCTTGGCTCCCCTCATACATTCCAACTCCCTCAGTACTGGTTGGGAGGTAGTCTCTAGACCGTATCTTAAGGAAAGAACGACCCAAGTTCATGTATTGCGAACTTCTCATATATATCTGAGCGTTGGTAAAAATCAAGAGTTTTCTGTTGGAGCCTGGCTCATTATATCAAAAACTGATCTTGGTTGTAGTGTCCTCGAGCCCAAGAAACTTTAATTTCTTGCATTTTTAAGGCTTAATTCTCGAGTTATATCACTATACCTTTTCAAAAATCCAACCCTGATGACTTCAGACCCAGAACTAGAACTTCTCAAATTTTGCGTAAAGGACGGAAATTTATAGACTTTTATCTGAGAATGTTGCAGTACAAGTTTTATGCATGGAACATATTGACAGAAAAGTTGATCCAAACTCCAACGTGCCATGTAAGCATGAATAATTCCTTATACGTTTTGAATATAACAGCTATGAACCTGAGGTAAGAACAGAAGTGACCTCAATTTTCTAGGTATCCATTCAGATCTATTTTACAGCTTTTCATGAAGATTAACATATGGAAAGCAGGCTACGAGCTGAGTGAAATCTCATGAGATGTGAAATAAGCCAATTGTTTTGAGAACGATATTTTCCGGGGCAAAGGAAAGGAAAGATGGTGGACAAAAGAAGAGAGAGATAGGCCGGTAATTGGGATAAGGGGGGGGGCGAGAGAGTAGAGGTGACTGGCAAAAACAACCATGATGTTCGTCAATCACATACAGCTAAACTTTGAGAGGTGGGTTATTTTCAGGGGTGGGGAGGCTACTCTCTAGGATACAAAAGGGTCGGTAGCTCTGTAGTTATCACCACTGGTTTAATGAGCCCTTTTGTTTTACCATTAACTGAATCAACTGTGAAATAGATGGAGTTTGGCAAGGTTGAGGATTATCCACATTACATTGCCACTACGCATCGGAAAATTGGAAAAAGATTCATAAATAGAAAATAGTAAAGATTACCATGGCACATTCGGAAGAAATTCCTCTGCAATGCAAAAATCCGTTTGTCCTAGCGTTAATTTTTTTCAGCAAATCAAAATTACTCGCGATCTATCGTTCTCGTTTGAATATTCAGTATCTGATGAATAATGGTGGTACAGGGGGAAGGGGAGTTCTTATTGGTCCATTGAAGTGGATTCGCAGTGGCGTGGCGTGCTTTGCGATATATCGATTGGTCTGTCATTTAAGCCTATGGAAAAGGATCGATAGACAGGGTGTTCGCAACGAAAACGTTATTAATCGATTCTTTACCATACACGGAAAAAAATGGATGGTGCTGACGACAGAACCTTTTGTTCATACGGCTCCCACAGTTTCTTTGTTATACTTACAGAACTTTTCTGTTGTGAGAACAGAACTTCTGTCGTGGGAACAGAGTACTCTGTTCCCACGACAGAAAGTTCTGTAAGTGTAACAAAGAAACTGTGGGAGCCGTATGAACAAAAGGTTCTGTTGCCAGCACCATCCATTTTTTTCTGTGTAGCTTAAAATAGGGAAATATCGATAATCGATCATTCACGGCACGCCGCTGCTTATTCGGTACGTACAATCGATGCACGATGCGTGTTTTAACGTGCTTTTCGTCTCCACTTGATGCTAGAATAAGCACTAAAAGAGATTGTGGTCAGAGATTTGTCGCTGGGACTAAGGGTTGTTTGAGCTCAACTTTTAACAATAAAATGAAAATAAATAAAAATACGCGATAGCGCTTAAAAAATAAAACCTGCATTCAATCCATTTCAATGGTAAAAGGGATAGAAACTAGAAGATTAAAAATTAGCTTGAATCCGTTGTGGAAAAATCAGAGGAGTAAAAATATGAAGTTAAGAGGCACCTTTGTAATGAATGAAGAAAAAAATGAGGAAAATTGAATAAGCTACGGGAAACGTTATTCTTGCGATGACGTCTATCGTTTTGGCCACCCGGATCGGATGAGGAGGTTCTTTCCGCCGAGCCTGAAAAAAGAAAGAAAGAATGAATGAAGCTCTCATTGACAAGAATGAAATCCGTAGTCAGACACTTGGAAATGAAAAATTAATATAATAAGGGACCGTTCATAAAATATACGTAACGCCAAAAATTGGATTTTTTTTATCTCTTCGCTCCGACCTCCCGTAACATACCCGTAACGTACCCGTAACGAACCTGTCACGCAGGGCTTAAAAATACCTCACGCTCTGTTGACCCTCCCCCAAAAGTAAACTTCCGAAAAACTATGGAAAAATAAACCGTCTTGGAACGACTAAAAGGGCTATGATTAGCGTTACTTAATGAAACTTTTGTAAAGCAAGCTCACCTTCCCTTTCTTGAGCGTTACGTATTGTGAACGGCCCTTAAACTCGCGGCATGCATTATAGAAAGGGTAGAGACCATTTTAAACTTTTATCCGAAAGAACGTCACCTTAAAGGTAAAAAATCCGATTTTTTAAAAATTTGGTTTCGAATTTGATAAAATTCTGAATTGATAATCTCGTGGAAAAATACACATATTTTTAAAAAAATGATAAAATGCTCAACCTTATCGATACGACAGTTTCGTTTTGAGTCCCTTGTAAGAGGAGTGGGTTATTTGCTTTATTTTGATTTATTGGTTTTTCCAGTTGAAAATGTATTTACCATGTTCTCAATCCCGTTCGATCTCTTTATGACAAATCAAAGTATCTACTTGAAATTGTTCTGTGTATATTTTTGAAGAGGGGAAGAAATTTCACAGATAATTTTAAATAACACTGTTTTCTCTCGAAAAAAGGAAAAATACGAGTTGCAACGTTGTAATTAACGCCATTGATATGACACGCCCAACTGACCTATTAATAGGTCAGTCTAGTCACCCATGGCAGTTCTGACCATGGCAGTCAGCATACCTATTAAGCCATTTACTAAAAAAAAAAAAAAAAGCCACAGTTGTTCACGAAGATAAAATGTCAAACATTTTTAGGTGTCTGCCTAAGAGAAAAAAATTAAACGCTTCTAATTGAAAAATATTAGTAAATACCATCCATTTTATAGCAGTTCTCATTCTCTCTCTCTCATAAATTGCTTCGAATTTTAGAGCAGAGATTGGATCCTTCTTGATAACAATGGGCCTGTTGCAAACTTTTGCTAGAGCAAAACTAAGAGTTGTTTCATATAGATAATGCCTCAAAAATCACGATGAGCGCATCGGCAAAGTCTGAAATGCACTCATAACTTCACAATCTGCGTAAGAAATTTGCGGTTTTTTGAGCTTCCCGCTTCAAAAACGATACTACGGCACAGGTGAACATTTTATAAGAGGAGTCGTTCCATCGTCGGCAATAATCATCATAGCCGACGCCAATCCGCCAAAACACGTTTGATGGGACGAGATAACACCTGAACTGGATTAGACCAGATAACAATCGGTGTGTTAACGTTCTTATTTTCCACGCCCGAATTGATTGACCTTGAACTCTCCTTGAATTACGCGCGGAACTGCGTGCAAGCGTCGGCCATGATGAATATCGCCGACGATGGAGCGACTCCTCTAACAAAATGTTCACCTGTGCCGAGTATCGTTTTTGAAGCGGGAAGCTTAAAAAAACGCAAATTTCTTACGCAGATTGTGAAGTTATGAGTGCATTTCAGACTTTGCCGATGCGCTCATCGTGATTTTTGAGGCATTATCTACAAGAAACAACTCTTATTTTTGCTCTAGCAAAAGTTTGCAACAGGCCCATTTAAGCTCTTAGTTTTGACTTTCTACAGCAATTATTATCCCCGTTGGATGTTACATCTGAGTGAGTAAATTTTTGATCCTCGGTGATTAGATAATAAATTACCACGACAGTAGAGTGTTTCGAAGTAAACATTTTACTCTGCACGTAAAAAACTTGACTTTATTGCTGTAAAATAAATACTTGCGAATAATTGCTAACATACAATTTAAGCGACTATGGCATCTATTCTACATATATTTGTGTTAAATAATACCAAGAACATGCTGAGTAACCGATCATTCCAGGTAATAACGGCTATAATGAAGCGTAAGAAATTACTAGGACACTGCAGTATGTAGAGAATAACTAAATGCGGCGTGCAAAGTTCTGACACGGTTTATCGAAACTAGGTATTTAAATTATTTTCTTTCAATTTCTATCGGCTTAAGTAGTTAGCGAATGTGAAATTCACAAGTATCCTGTATATTTTTATCAAAACGAACATAATACTTCTGACGAAACATAATGTTCTATATTGACCGGAGATTTATGTTGAACAATGAACCAATTCACCAGCATAGGTTCGGAAGTGTCAACCGATGAGGGGTTTGGTTCACATGACCTCACGTGGCGGCTCAGTACTCTGAACCAAATATCGGCTATTGAACTCCACTGGCTCATTAATAACCTCGTTGGTAAATAGTTCGATTTCGGCTAATATCAGCTTTTGTTTCAATTTGCGAAGAGCGCCAAAAAAATAAAAAAAAATATAAAAAAATAAAAATAAAAGTAGTGTACTTCTTTCGAAAAACTCACTGAGAGGCTTAGGCATCTCGACATAATGCGTAGGAAGCAAAAAAATCATGTAAAATGATTTGATAGCAGTCATTCGGCACGAACGGTATATTTATGTAAGTACAGTAGCGCGGTGTGCTTTGCGATAAAGCGATTGATCGGCCATTTAAACGTATGGAAAGGATCGGTAAAAAGGGTGTGCGCAACGAACACCTTCATAATGGATTCTTTACCATAGCTCCAAATTGAGAAATATCGATAATCAGTCATTCAATGTATGAAGTGTGGAATGTTCACCTTAAATGTCAAACCATCGTGATCTAGCCCTAACGTTGCTGGAACATTCGGCTGTACCAAGTTCGAATTGTACAAAACAAGCCGCCTACAAGTAGCAGCGTCCGAAAATCAGGTCTGAACAAACATCTGGAGCAGATGCTATTTTCTCAATGACTTGATAACTATCTGTCGCTCATAGAAACCTAATCTGTGAAGGTCTCATGTAAATATGGAATTTTGTGGCGTGAAAGGCGTGAAATTTTGTAGTTCGAGCCCCTTGTCCTTCATCGTGAGGCATTATAATATACGTAATTATAATTAATTTTAGTAATCGTCTCTATTCTTCTATTGTGGTATATAGCTCCTTTCTTGTCTGCCTCTTTTCCTGCTCATTTATGGACTGTAATCTTCACTATGGTTTGAGTAAACTCATCTCAGTGCCCTATTCTATTCGAAGCACAGTCAGATGAAGTGAATACTCTCTTTTCTAACGTAATAACTTATGATCGGATTAATTACGTACAAGTAGGTTATATATTTTTCATATTCCCACGGGAAATCGTTGATGGTTTTATACTTGGACTGCGGATGGACGAGTCTCTCTTTCCTGGCATGAAGTCTTTTTAGGAGAAAATATTTGGCAAAATACTTCGTTAAACTTCAAATATGACAGTATGTTAGCGGGGAATTAATTCGCCCGCACATACATCTTGACGATATCAATAATTATTTTAGACAAAGGTATAATTTCGCAAATAATAAAGCTTTACTTAAGCAGCTCTATTGAATTTTTGCAAGAACACTATGAATTCAGTAAAAGCATCCAAATGCTCTAAATTTGCAACGACTACCTTTCAATGTCAAACATTTGTTTTTTTAGCGACTGTCTTTGAGGGTATGCCTGTTATTTCAGGTATTCAAAAACGCAAGCATATCTTCTAGGAGCAATTTGGATACTGGAATCTGTATCATAGACCAAATTTAAGACGCCCCTTCAAACCGTCTATTTCCAAGAAAGAATCTCATACACTGGTAAAAGAAGTTCGATCATGTGAATCAAACGTTCGGTGTTCCATATCATCCCAAATATTCAGTTTGTCAAACTGGACTTTCGATTCGTGCAACCGGACGATCGGCATGTATAGGTCGTCAGTCAACTTTACCACACAAGTTCGGTTACACGAACGGAATTAGTTGGGATGATATGGAACACCGAACTATGGTACATACGACCGAACTTTTTTTTCAGTGAGGTTTTAGCAACGCTTCGAGAACTAAGCTAGGTCCAAGGCACGCTTTAAATTCTCATTCTGCATAAGGAACGAAATAAAACGAACATAAAATGGAATACCTCTGACGCACAACCATTGTTCGCCGTATGTGTGCACGTGTTGGGCCCACAATTTGTACATGCAACTATGTCGTTGGGCCCATCTGATTTCCGCTCGCCCTGTCAACAAAGTGCACCAATGAACGACACGATTGTAAGTAAAATGAAAATGAAATCGGAAATAAAAATATAGATTGTTGCCCAGCTGTAAAATTGAACCAGCATAGAACAATGATATCGTACAAAAGACTTCCTCAACAGGATGTCTCTTTGTATGGCGTCAATGGTTGCTCTCTCTCGTAAGGAATGAGGAAACACTTGAGAGTCATATGTGTGCGGCGCATATGAAATTTACAAGTTGCATACAACTTTAGGATTACTGAGGCTTTCTACATCCAAGTATATCTGCGGGGGCGTTTGAAGAAATGACAAGAAATAACAAAAGACTTGCTCACTTTTGCGTCAACTGCACCATGGCAGCTAATCCACGCGGGTGATGTTGCATTGCGTCCATGATATTGAACTGCATGCTCACTTTAATATGGATTTTTTTTTTTTATTATTTTTTTTTTTTTTTTTTATTTTAAACCAAAGTGAGCATAGCTTTCAAAATCGTGGGATGCTGATATTTTCTGACATTAGACGAGCGTGGAGTCCAAAAATTTATCAAGACATTTTGGAGAAGTACATGCGTTCTTGTAGTAAATATTGCGTTGGTTAGTTTAGATTAGGTTAGTTCAAGTTAGAGAAGATAAGAAACGTATGCAATTTTCTAGTATAATGAAAAATGGCTAAGCAGTAAAACTAAGGGAAATTTTCTTTGCTATTGGACTCCGTGCTCAAGCGGAGAGGTAAAAATTTCAGTGAAGAGCATGGAGTCCAATATCTTGGACGCGATGCTACAGAATCTCCACGCGACAGCGACGGTTGATTGGTTCCAAAATTAGCTTCCAGTTCATACTTCTATCAATCTAGATGCGGATTTAATGATCCACAAAAGGACGTTGCAATCTTGATAGATTCAATTGAGCCACGCGCTTCGAGTTGGAAACTAAAATTATTTTGACGAAAGCGAAACCGTGAATCAATTTAAATCGTTAGTAAAGAAGCTATTCCAATGCCCCTCGATGAATTGCACTATTTGTTCATTTTATCTTGCTAACTCATCAAATGCTAAAGCTGACTTGCTCCATACTTTATCTCCCGCTGCCGTTGGATTACATTTTGCAATGGGGAACCACCATTTCTGGCTCTTGCATATAAGCACATATCTGCATTGGGATACCAATGTCATGTATGTTGTTTCTAAAATGTACCAGAAATAGTGGTTCCTTATTGAAAAATGTGATCTAAATGATCCTCACGGAGTGGATCCTCAGTAATTTAAAAACCGTCTACTTCATAGAGTAAAAATAAAAAAAGAGTCAAAACTATATAAAATTCTGGCTTTCATCGCTCGAAACCGTACAGTGTCCTGAATAACTGGAAGAGTCTAAAAGTCAAATGGCGAAATTCTGTCCTCTACTTGGTCCAAAAGTCATCGTGCTCGGATTAATTGGACGTATTTCTACCAAACGGAATTATGTGCATTGAGACATGAGCCCTGAGACCCATAAGTCTATGTGCACAACAGGGCTCACGTTATAATGCACATAGTTCCGTTTGATAGATATACGTCCAATTAGAGGACCCAAAGGTCACCTGACCGACAAGGAGGTTAGACATTAGTCCGATAGTGCACACAAAAAAACTCCTAAAAAAGCCACGAATATATAATTGGTTATTTCTTTTGCAAATCATACATAATTATGAACGTTTTTTAAATAAAAAAACGATGACATTTCGCAGGATGTAAGTCATCTAATTAACGTTTTGTTGAAGACAAGCCTTCAAACGAGACTCTGACGTATGAAACTAAAATAGAATATGAAAAACCATTTACGAAAAAGTTCAGATTTAAATACAGAGACTTAAATTTTAAAAGCAGAAGATGTTAATTTCGCAGAAGACTGGAGACAGTAAAAATTCTCAAATATACGAAGAAAAGCCCGGTCTCCGAGGGAAGACTCTCTACGTGTACTTCAGAAAATAATTATGTTCTCATGTCCCCTCGTTGATTCGAAATTTCGGGACCGCGATCAGTGAAAGAATCACTTCTGTTATTTGAGATGGCGTACCTATATAGCTCTTTAACTCGAAATCATGGTTCTGCATTTTAAACTGACAGAACCAATAACGCTAACGCTGTTTGATGTGAAAGGATTCAAAGGAGGCTTTCTTTTCAATAGCCGTATTAGAGAGGATCAGGTGAAGGACGCGTGTTTTTAATAATAGAAAGATTAACTGTATTAGAAATCTCTTCCTCTGAATTTACTTCGAAACTGTTCTTAGGATACAATTTAGCATCCTGTCGATCAAGAATCCCTGTAATATGAGAATAATATGAGAATAAATAAGTCAGTACAGTTCCTCCGTTCCCAATTATGGAGAGAACACTGTATGGAGAGGACTACCTGCTCAGCTACGTATGTAAGCGTTAAAATATAATGTCGCTTTGCAAATATTTTGAAATAAAAGAGGTTATTCTGACGCCTTTTTAAATTGAAAGCGTACTAGTTATTTTTTGTTTCTTTAAGAGAGAAAATGAATCCAAGCGACTCTTTGTGAAAAAAGTAGTGGGAAGGTATTATTTTAGAGTCTAATATCTTTTTATTTGATGATTGCGATGGATATTAAAAAAAATAAATGAATAGGGAAGAGAGGAAACAGAGACAAAACAGAAGACGGAAAAACGAGGAATATGACTAAAAATGTGTGTCCAGTAAAGCTTTTAAGACATGCAACCTAAAATAGACTATTCTGTCTTCCTAACGCCCATTTCGTTATTTTAAGCTATATTAATCATGCATTTGAGAAGTGTGAAGGATTTTTTAATAGAGTAGTATCAACAAAACTGATTTTTAAGGGGATTATTGGTCAAAAAGTTAGAAAATATTACTAAGTAGATTTTTAGCGCTAATTCCAAAAATGACTTCCTGGCCGAGGAAAAATTAGGTTTTGCTTACAATGTGGAATTCTCCTCAAAAGTTGAGCTTCTCCGGAGCAAATTCAATTGAGAAATGCAGAGATCATTACCAGATTTAGCAGCCATAAGTACACGTGGCAATGTGTTTGCCACGCCTGAAATATTCTCTGTTGTTTCTGACAACGAGTTACTTCGGTCAAATAGATTAGCGCATCCATACTCCGCAATGGACAGCTCAATATTTGATGGTTTTGTGTCGAAAATATGGAAAAGTTTTTCCTTAGAGCTTATTCGGACGGCTGAAGCCGAAAATGACCTCACTTTTTTGTCAGCACTGACCCGTTTTTTAAAAAATTGATTTTTTTTTACCCCTGATTCCTACCTCAAGAAACTTACATTTTTTCACTTTCTAAAGGTACTAAAAACGTCATTTTCGGCTCTTTAGACGCCTGAGAAAACAATTGTACACAAAACAATCATATCATGTGCGTTATTGTGTGTCGTATTTTGTGTCGCTTATTGTGGTTTTCACCGGGATACCTCGTTATCAAAAACACTTGATATTCTCTGGCATATACAGGATGCATTTCTGTGTTTTGAAAAGTTTAGTCAGAACAAAATGTTTGGTTTTTTCCGCTACACACGAATTTTCTAGGACATGAAATTTTCCTCTCGGATAAACTCGATTTTTGGGGGAAATTCCGGTTTTTCCTGGTGACATCTAAAGATGACTAAAGGAACGGGTCTACAGGTGCCTTCCTGCATGAATGGTCGTAACTAGTGTTGCACCAAACAGCGTGTCTTTTGGAGGAAAAATTGTGCTTCAATGAGCTTTTCCGCTCAGTAATGAGATTTTCAGCTTTATACTGATTTATAACACACGCTGTTTAAAAATTCCAATTTACCGTCTTTAAAATCTGAAGAATCTAGCAATTCATTTTTGGAATCAGCGTTGAAATTCTACTGCGGACCTCTTTGGAAGTTTTTGGCAAATTAGCGAGAGAAAAAATAAACTAGTTGTTGGCCTGCATAATTTATTCACTCATTTTTTTAAAATTATGAAATATTTTTCTTTTGGTCGTGGCTAGATCACTTAGATTTGTACTCAGATATTGCTTTGGCTATGGATGGTTGTTTCCGTTTTACTCAGTATGGTCACGCCTTTATATATTAATTGGTGATTTTGCACAATGCGCATGGGTGAATACTAGTGGAGAGGCGTGAATGATCGATTATCGATATTTCCTCGTTTGAAACTATGGTAAAACATCGATTATAAAGGCGTTCGTCTGTTCGTTGCAAACACCCTGTTTATCGATTCTTTTCCATAGGTTTAAACGGCAGAGCAATCGATATATCTCAAAGCACGCCAAACTATTGGTGAATATACTCAGTATACTTAGAATGCACGCAAAAATACGTTTTTGTGGTATTAATATGAAACCTTAGTTGAGCTAAACGGCTCCAAAACGGTAAAGCAGGACGATTATTAAGTGTAATTTCATTTACGCTACATTGCTCCGCTATGGAAAGACTGGCGTTACTAATGGAGCACCTAGGAAAAAAGAGTTTTTTGACGGATTTGTTGAAAAGCTCAAACACGGTTTATCAAAGGTTTAAAAGTCAAAAGTTTGCGATGAAACTGAGCTGAATCACATTTGTAAGTAATGAAAAGACATATTTACACATTTGTCATCTGCCTGGTGGCGAGAGTTATTTTTAGTGGTGGATTGATTTTTTGGAAGGGTAAAAGACGAGATAAATACTCGGGAAATTCTTAGAGGCCTGGGTCGTTGGGCACAAAGTAATAAGCCAAAGTGATGGGGAGCAATGTGATATAATAAGTCTATGTTCTTGAGTCCCAATCTACCGAAAGTGAATAATAATTTCGAGCTCAAATTCGGAGCTCATTTTGTCCAACAGTCCACATTACTTCCACACAACCAAAGTAATATGTGCAGGGCAGAATCGACTCTTTCCGTGGCATGAACTCTCTCGTACGGAGCGAATTTCATTATTGATCCCGTGTTACCCGTGTATTATGAACAATTCACTCCAGATTTCATTCCGAGATTTCGAGCAGTGAAAAATTTTTGGGGAAAACATGAGTCACATGACCTAAATGATTCCATTCTTCAGGTTTTCTTCAATTATTGATCCATTATTAATCGGTGGCGTGCCGTGATTTTCGATACATCGATTGATCTGCCACTTAAACCTATAGAAAAGGATCGATAGACAGGGTGTTTACAACGAGCACCTTGTTGAGCTATGCTCAACATTACTTAAATCATACAATAATTCGACTATAAAACATCTAAAACTGCAATAATTTTATTAATAGTTTTTCATACCATTTTTCATAAGTTGAACTGGATAACAGGTTATTGATTAATGAGTACATACAAATTTTGAACTTGGAAGATCAGCTGATAAGGAGTTGCCAAGTCTCAACATACCTTAACAATCGATTCTTGACCATAGCTACAAATGGGGAAATATCGATAAATCGATCACTCACGCCGCACCACTGATTGAGATTGATGATTCGGAGGCGAGTTCGCTCAACACGTTCGAATAAATTTGGCATCAGGATTGCCGGTAGGAGATTCCAGTGGCAAAAGTAAAGGCGAGGGGTGAATGGTCGATTATCGATATTTTCCCGTCTGAAGCAACGGTGAAGAATCGATTATTAAAAAGGTGTCTGTTGCAAACACCCTGTTTATCGAACCTTTTCCACGGATTTAAATGACAGATACTTCGATGTATCACAAAGCACGCCACGTTACTGGTCAAAAGAAATGGAGGTGCGTTTTGATATTCATTTGCTGAGCTCTCACTTGAACCGCGCAATGATGACAAACCATACTTAAATCAAACATGTTTGCGATTATGAAACGGCGTAAGTACTAGTGAATGCACGAGTGAAAGCAGCGAGCTTACAATGTGAAGCCCATCCGGCGTATGAAGTATACCCGGCTGAAAAATGTGTGCATTTTTAGATGCATCTAAATGCGAGTGCCGATATAATTTCAATCAGTGACGAGGCTTGAATGCTCGATAATCGATGAAGCTATGATAAAAAATCGATTATCAAGGTGTTCGCTAAGAACACCCAGTTTATCGATCCTTTTCCATAGATTTAAATGGCAGACCAATCGATTTATCGCAAAGTACACCACGACTCTGATTTCAATGAAAACGCATGATAGTGTAAAACAATAGCCGCACTAAAGTTAAACTTATTTTAACGTTAGCGGTGGAGATGTTGATGTAAATTTCACCTACGGTGACTAAATTTTGCCAGATACCTTCCCGGTGCGTAATTAGATAGAACTATGCTAAAAGTCCTGCAGGCTGATTGTTGAAATTGGTAGACATGCAAAGCGATAGACAAAGAAGACATAAGAAGTAGGGAGCGATCCTATTGGTTGAAATGAGTGGTTCCTATAAACTAAGGGAGAATATGACGGACTAACTAAAGGTTCCCTCGTAGGTTGTCGTTAGTTAGTCTATCACCCATCTCTTCTGTCCATTGGAACCACCAGCTATCACCAATAGGATTCCTCCATATCCTTTTTTCCTCTTTGTCTATCGCTTTGTCTATCGATTTCAACAATCAGCCCGCTGCCCATGAAGGTCATAACCAGAGATGCGAAATGAAACATGAGATGGGCCTAATATTGCATATAGCGCTGCTACGGAGCAATCAACAATGTAGCAATTACAATTTGCGAAGCGAGAAGAGAAAAAAAATCAATTCTAGAATTGTATAAATGATAAAGTTAGTTTTTCAGGGCTTACCAACGGCGTGGCCAGAACCATACCTATGCGACTCAGTACCGCCGGCAGCCGCTGTAAAATAAGGTAATCTCCTTACCAACACATGCTAAACGTCTCCTCTAAATATTAAATTTACCCAACTCGTTCGGTTGCACAAGTGCGTATTCCACCCAGACCAGCAGTAGACCAATCGAAGTTTTTGTATGAAAATACACTTTAAGTACTAGTCCATTAAGAAACATGAGTGGAATTCTGATGGCCTTTTGCGGAAAACTTTATAGCCTTGTTTCAGCCACCACCAGTGCTCAAGATTTTGCTCGATAGATAAACCCCCTAAGACTCCAAGAGTCGGAACCCAAGCCATGGTTGCGGTAGTAATCGGCAGAAGTCAACGGCAGCGCGGAACGCGCACCAGCGCCTACAAACCTAGAGGGATACATCACGCATTGCGCAATGCTTGAAGTATCCCTGTTAGGTTTGTAGGCGCTGGCTAGCCGCCCGCCCGCCGCGCAGATGCGCCGCAGCGTGCCACGGCGCCTCAAGCAACTATTTCACAACAGAGGTGTTGCACAGCATCATACGAAATTGAAGGCGCTCCAACATGTTATAAATAACAGGCATCCTTTAAGAGTGCGGAGCTGTCCTTGCAAAATAAATCAAGATACTACGGCACAAAAAGAGAGCGGTAGTCAAAAAACTCACCAAGTCCTAGCATCCGTATTCCATCTTTTCATACTTGAACCGGACAAGCTTTTTAACTTGGCTCAGATAAAGGCTCTTAGATTTTTCCTGTGTACGATAACTTCGCTACGGCGCTGGAGTGAAGAGGCGCTTCGAGCTAAAATTTTTCCAAGGAGGTGTTGCACAGTATCATACGAGATTGAAGGCACTGAAAAATCTATACGGATTTGAATATTCTATCTAATATGGACACTTTGTTGACCCTTTGCGACTTTGCGTATGCATCTTTATTTATTGGTGAGGAATTCCGTTAAAGTTATCATTATGACGGCATCTTTCAAAAACACGAAGCTCCCTCGCAAATTAAATCGAGTGACGACGACGAAAAGAGAGCGGTAGTGAAAAACTTACGAAGTCCTAGTTTCCGTACCCCATAACGTTAAGCATGATTTTTGACTTCATTAGAGGAAAAAGTGATTTGATTCAAACAGAAGTATGCTAAAATTTACCGCCGAGAAGACCTCCTTTTGAATCAATAAAGAAAATAATTCTTGTTCAAAACAGAAAAGATGCTTAATTAAAAAAAAGGTACTTACATAAAATAGAAACCCGCTTTCATTCTGCGATATTATTCTTGATCCAAAATAAAATCTCTAGACCACATACTCAAAACTGTTTCTGCCTTAATCGAGTCATTTTTTATTTTAATGAAATTCAAAAATTATGCTAGACCTTATGAAATACGGATGCTAGGACTTGGTGAGTTTCTGGACTACCGCTGTCTTTTTGTGCCGTGATATCTTGATTTATTTTGCAAGGAAAGCTCCGAACTCTTGAAGGATGCCTGTCATTCTTAATATATTGGAGCGCCTTCAATTTCGTATATATCGACGGTGAAACTACCAAACCACGTATCTCGTTTGCGGTGTTTAAAAATCTACGCTCGCATTTTATTTTTTTGAAGAAGACCAAATCAATATCATTCCTTGAAATTTTCACAGAATTTTCTCCGCACGAAGAGGAAAAATCACAGAAATTTTCAAGACTGGACGTTAATTAGTTTTTCCTTTAAAAAATAAAGTATGACAGGAAGTCTACGACGTCGCAAACCGAGATACGTGGCTTGGTAGTTTCACCGTCGATATGTTGTGAAATAGTTGCTTGAGGCGCCGTGGCACGCCGCGCCGTGGCACGCCGCGCCGCGGCCGGCTGGCCAGCGCCTACAAACCTAACGGGGATACTTCAAGCATTGCGCAATGCGTGACGTATCCCCTTAGGTTTGAAGGCGCCGGTGCGCGGGTGCGCGTTTCGCGCTGGCAACATGCCGCTCCGCTCTGTGTTAGGCACTAATATTTAAACTCGCCGGAGTCAGTGTTTTTCAAATCATGATTTTGAAATGTTTGCACACTCTGCATGTATTATTCTCATTTAAATTGATTTAAAAAAAGTATGTATGAAAGGAAAATATAATGTGTTTTGTAAATATTAAAATGGCTCCGGGTCAAATTTAATGACTTCCAAACTATTCTAATTTTTCTTTTATATTTTGTGATTATACTGCTCTGCAGCGTGGTGAACGCGCAACCAAAAGCTCAAAACTTGGACTTATTTGACTCTGAAAGATCGACATAATCGTAGGTTAAAGTTAAAGGTAGGTTAAAGTTGTATGCTTCTCAGTCGTTTTTCCTCTTTTATTAATGCTGGTACCGTTTCTTTCAACACAACTACGGCTTATTGAGAATAATATCGATACCATCGCTTGGAAAAGGTTTTGAAAATATTTGCCATATTTTAAACCGAAAATTTTAAGGATAGAAATAAAATCAAATATTCACCGATGCAAATTTGAAAAGATGAATCAAAACAGGGAGGTAACATTTCATTTAAAAAATGAGTTACCATAACTGCTATGCTAAAGAAAAACTCCATGGGAACCTTCAGACGTTTACAAATTTATTTTGATAAAACATGAATTTCCTAGTAAACTTTTGAATATTTTTCTTCTGGTTTGTCAGATAATTTTGTTCGCAATTTCACCTAAGGCCCTGAAAAACCCAAGGAAAAATATTCAATACTTTCTTTAAAGATGTACGTTTTATCGAAGGAAATTTGGCAACTCTCGAATGTTCGTGCGGCGTTTTTCTTTAGCGCGGCAGGTAACAACACCTTCTTCTCTCTCAATTTTCTCATTTCGATATTGTCAATATAATTTTACATACGGACTAAAATATAACGTTTGTACTAAGTCACTGTTGATTATTTTACAAGTGGACGTAAACTACTGGACAATTCAGGTGCGTGGACAAAAAATCGTTGACGGAATATCCTGAAACCTTCTTTTAAAATATTCCTTGATAAAGTTCACCTCATTGATTACGATACACTGTTACAATATTCCTAATTTATGTGGAAGAGTACACACCGGGCAGATCTAGTATCAGGATAAATGATTTCTTTTAAATATCATCAATAGGTAAGAATTGAGTATACTAAAAAATCTCGGCTCTGTTTGATAAGCATACAATTATAGCAATTCAAATTATTCAATTACAAAAGTATTGGCTACGTTGCTCAAGTAGACCTTGAAGCACCACCCATAAATAAGAGGAACCGAACCAACACAACATGGGAATAGAGCGAGGACACGAAAAGGACACGCGTTGATGACGGCGCAGAGAAACAACTATTCGTACTTGATGGATATCTGTGTTGCATCTGAAAAATTGAAGGCGCGATGGTGCGAGGCGTGAACTCGCAATGCATAATGCTGCCAACGAGGTGTCGCGTTGTTCAAGCGACATTAACTGTAAAAGTCTTGTTCTCAGTCCGTTGATGGATGACGCCCAATAAACTTCCTGCCATCCTCTCTCTTTTCTTAGTGTGATTTGCAAACATTTGTAGCACGTCAAATCATTCAAGTACAAAAATATCGTGACTTTTTTTTTCACACGTACACACAATTACACAATCACTTTTCCTCTTGATGATATGATCGTAAATCTTTATGAAGAAATATCACGGCGATCTACAAGTAGTATATTTGCTGTGCGAGTGTGTCAATTTTATGATTCATGTTGTCATTTTTAGAGGGTATTTATACGTCAAGACTTAAAAGTCAATCATGCTGAGTAAATTTAAGAAAGAATGCCGGTAAAAATTTCATCACAATGTTTGAGAATGAACATTGGAGAAGGGAGGAGATGTAAAGAACTATTTACATGTCTAGAAAAATGGATTGATCTTAAAGAATTATACAATACGAATTCCACAGATCATCATTTCGGGTCAGCAGAGTGCCCCATGCGTGAGCAATAAGGAAGTCTAATGCACTAATCGCTCGACAAAACATGTTAAATCCTATTTTCTTTTTCTGCCAGGGAGAGAAATGTACATAACAGATTTCTAAACTAATTGACTCTTGACACAAAAAACGGACTGGTTCAGAAACGTCGCTTTGGACATCCAATCGCAATGAACGCGGTCGGATGAATGACATTTGTGATTCTCGTCTACAGATGATTGGTGAATGCTGGTTGGATAACCGACTGTCGAAGAAGTTTGTTATGATATTGTTTAAAAAATCAAATGATGAGCACATCACTCGGTCATACTCATCAATCAATTAAGTATAATTACATCGAAATAGTGGTGCTCGTAGAACGAAACATCATTTCACTGCAGGATACCGTCAGTAAGGCGAGCACTTTGCATACGTATCTGTTTGATTGATATTTCTCGACGAAGTTCAGAAATTAACTACATTTTAGGTCCGCTGAATGTTTTAGGCATGCTAGACGTCTTTTTCATGAGGAAGTGGGTTAAGGGCCCACTTACTTTTCAGGGGAGTCTAATGATATTGAGCGGCTTCGTTTCATATGGTCAAATTTTCCCTACGAGGGAGGGAGAAGTAGCCCTCTCTCCCTCTGGGTACTCCTTGGTGCGTCCATGAGGCTTGGAGAACAAGGCGCATAAGTGCAGTTTTTACTATTTCAATAAATCCGTGTTTGAAGTTTCGGAATTATAAGGATCCTTAAGGCGGAAAGAAAGTTCAAACTGACTGAAAAACAACTTAATCAGCCGAAATTCACATAATAAAATAACAACTTGATTTGGGGAAAAGACTACAAAAAAAAAAAAAAAAAAAAAAAAAAAAAAAAAAAAAACCAACAACAACAAAGGATAAACAGAAAACCCGGAACGTTTCAGAATATTAACACTTCCATTTTCAACCGGAAAAATAAAACTAAAAATGAACTGTCGATTTGTTGCTATTGCGAGACCGAGACACAGACTGGTGATTTTTTTGCGCCTTTTCCCCAACTGAAGTTCAAACTGACTTTTTGATGCATAAAAATTGGAATTTGAGAGAGAATGTTTCTCAGATTATGCATCAAGACTAGTTTTTCTTGAAATCTTTTTTTCTTCTTATTTTTTTCTTTTTGTGTGTGCGCGTGTCGCACTAGGTAGTTTTAAAATTTCCAAGGAAACACCCAAATCCGTAGTAACGTTAATTTCTCAATTTTTTTCAAAAACTTCACGTATGCGCCTTGTGCTCCAAGCCTCTGAGGTGAGCTTTTTCGAAAGGGAGGAAAGAAATGAGAGAATGCGATGAATATGCAGTTTACCTGAGCAACCGGATTCTCTCCTGGCCGATATACGACGTTGTGGAGTGGCCTTTTGCGTCCGACATAGTTGACGCACACGAACTCCAGGAGACTGGCGTAGATGAAGCACATACACACGCCATCCCACACGTTCATTGCCGTCAGATTGGACACAACTGGTAGAGTCGAACGAAAGCCGTTCGACGTTGTGAAAAAGTTGAGCATTGTTGTTACACCTGTCGACAACGTATACCAACATACATCTCGTCAAAATGGACTGTTAAGAAGCAACTCCCGAAATTCTTAACCCTCAGATGCCCAAGTCTTTTTTTCTATACGCAAAGTTCCAAATTGGATCAAAGATACAAATTTTTAAGAGCAGCCCAAGACAATGATAACAGTGGAAAAACAAGGATGAAAAAACGGGAAATAAAACTAAAAATACACAATTAATGAAACCCGAGACGTTTCGACTCACAACCGAGTCATTTTCAGTCGGAAAAAATAAAAATTTAAAAGAAAAAACGATAAAAAACCTGAGCCCTACATGGTGGTGGCCGGGATCTGAGAGAAAGAGAAAATTGATGGGTTCCATTAATTGTGTATTTTTAGCCTTGTTTCCCGTTTTTTCATCCTTGTTTTTCCACTGTGAATTGGATCAAATTGATTTGTATTTCATTTAAGGACATTGATTTTGATGGTTGAGCATAGTTGAGGGGGGAGACGAAGAGGTCGCCCAGTGAAAGGGTGGCAACAGGGGGTTTTAGAGGAAATGAGGGTTTGCCAACTCCCTGAAGGGTTGTGGGAGGATAGGGGACTTTGGCGGCTGAGTGTCGCAGAGCGCCAAAGAGCGCTATAAAGCGGCTTTATACATCCATTCATTTTGATAGTTACTGAATTGTATCATATCATGTGATTCCAATGTTTTAAGGTGAAAAATGCTTTTTTTGAAATTTTCACTTCCCTGGTTACATAATGAGGCTCTTCTACCTCCTCCTCATACGCCATATCTAGGGCTAAGGAACAATTCCGCTTAACTGACAATTTTGGCAAAATTGAGTCAGCTACTTTGCTGCATTCCACAGTATAAAATACGCGGGATGCTGATGTTAGTTTTTTTTTTAAAAAAAAAAATTCTGTAGGAGAGCGCTGCAATGACGTACTGTATGAAAAATTGCAAAATTAACTTGAAAATTAAAAAAAAAAAATAGCTAAATGTTTTCTTCGTCCTGCAAAATTATCAAGTTGCATGTTGGCGGTATTGTTCCTTTGCCATCGATAAGTAACTCAATCGAGGCGCTGTGATACAACTATTCGTGTTTCATGGATGTCCATGTTGTATCTGCAAAATTGAAGGCGCGATGGCGCGAGGCGTAAACTCGCACTCGCAATGATGCTCCATTGTATGCTGCCAATGACGTGTCGCTTACATTTGGGAAAAAAGTTAATGATAATTCTTTTTTATCTTCGACACTAACTAATTTTCTTAAAAATGTTATGTCTGGTACTGTTTTTGGGATGTACTCGTAAACCTATATCTAAAGCTCGCATATACCGGCCCCGTATACAGTCCGCAGGGCACGTGTTTTTAGAACAGCCTCGGGTCAATTATTTGACCTACTTTTGGCATCCAAGGGTTAGAAAAAACATTAATTATTAAGAAGAAGGATAGTAATTTTGGGTATTTTCTAAAATAAATTTACGTTTGGCATATAATTTACGGAAAGCGGCCTTTTTCAAACATACAAGGTAACAAAAGGCTTTGGTGGATCTCTTAAAATAATTTTCAACGCTCTTTTAACCTCGCACCGTTCGAAAATTTTAGTTTAAAAAAAACCAAAGAAGGAGTTTCCTTTTTTGCAAATTTCGTAAGTTTTCATACTCTTCATTTTAAAATATTAGCAGGCTTTTTGAATGCAGTCGTTGATGCTGGAGATGATGAGGTTTTCTCAATTATTTTATTACGTTATAGTAAGTAACGTTATAACGTTAATAGTAACGTAATAAATAATGGTATAGTAAGTGGTTTCTATAAATGGACTGGGAACATTCACTTATCAATCATGACTCTGGCAGGAACAGCATTCCATGAGGTTTTCTCAATTATTTTATTACGTTATAGTAAGTAACGTTATAACGTTAATAGTAACGTAATAAATAATGGTATAGTAAGTGGTTTCTATAAATGGACTGGGAACATTCACTTACCAATCATGACTCTGGCAGGAACAGCATTCCATTCCAACCAGAAAGTGATGAACGATGAGGTGACTAGAATGATCCCTGGGATGAAGACGGTGGTGAAATAAAAAGCTCGATCTCGAGTGAAGATTAAGTCTACTTTTAAGCAGCTGTAGTTTCCTGCACAGAAAAGAGCATCCCAATAAGATGGATGATACAAAATTTATAGGTGTGGGAAAGAAATTTAGATGGTCTAAGGCACAATTGGACACGGTGAAGTTAAAGAGTCGCATCTGCATTGCGGTGTTTTAAAATCTCATCTCCTATTTTCACTTTTTGGGAAGAAACCCACCAAAATCCCAAATCGAGGTCATTTTTACCAATTTTTGAGCAAATAAATTGGTTGGTTTCCTTTTGAAACACCGCAGTGTGGATGTAACTGTTATACACAATTATTCCATCCAATCACACCATTGCGACTTTCTATCCAGTCTTGCTTACGACTTTGAATCAAATATGATATAGTATGGCACGGACACGAGGCAACGAAAATGTGATGGAAATTCTTTATGAGACAACACGCACAATTTTCTGTCAGATAAGTGGCGTCATTCTCATGAAAAATTGAATGAAAAATCAGATTCAGCAACTCATTCACCTCCGCTCAAATGATCAACTGTTCCAAGGGTATGAACAAACCCACCATAAAATAAATTCGAACGTTAGTGACATTCAAACTCGTCGGTTTCGATTCCATAAGCGCCATTTTGTTGCACGCTAAAAGTGAAAATATATGCAGAATATATTTTCCTTTCGATTGCGTTATTTGCCAGTAAGCGCTCACAGAATAGAATACGGATTTTTCAAGGAAGGTTATTCTTTCATTCGCTTGCATTCATGAGGTATAGAATAAGTAGACGCATACTCATGGTCAATGGAGTAAAACAGGAGTGGCGAGGCGTGAAAGATCGATTATCGATATTTCCCCATTTGAATCCGTGATAAAGAATCGATTATTAAGGAGTTCATTGCGAACACCTTGTTTATCGATTCTTTTCCGTAGGTTTAACTGACAGATTAATCGATAGATCATCACAAAGCACGCCATGGCACTGTTAAACAGCCAGGAGATGGAACGAAAGCAAAACTAGGGAGTAAAAGCCGTTCTGCGTATGCAAGGGACAGGGACAACAGGTGGATCGCCGGATGTCAAGATTTCGCCCATTAAAATGCATGAATAGCAATCGATACATATCGAAGAAGGCTCTCTCACCTGGAATCGATTATTTATTATGGACTTAAAAGGGGATAATATAGGGTTGTCAACTTGCGAGAGGTACCGCCCTCCTCCCACCGTTCACCATCGGGCGGATTATTAAAATTTATAGACAAAGCGATGGACAAATGAAATAAAAAGACAATGGGGAACTAAGCGATTCTTTTGGTGAAAATGATAAAGTTACCACATAGTCTCTCCTCAGTTGCCATCAGTTAGTCTATTAAGTAACTCCTTTGTCTATCACGCAACCACTTACTTCCACTAATAGGATCTATCCATTTTCTCTTTTGTCTCCTTTGTCAAAGCTTAGTTCATAATTTTCAATAATTAGCGCGCAGAGGCGAAATGACTGCAATAATTGCAGTGCTTTTTGGTCTAGAAATCTGACGGACCCCATTCCATTGTGCCATGGTTTTACGATTGAAAGTTCGGAAGTATGAGTTGAGGTTTTTTTTAATAGAGCCCTCAAATCAAATGAGTGGCGTCCATTTTGATATGTTTACATTTCTGTGGAATTAAATACGCCAACATTCATAATCTAACATCCAATCAGACGTTGAGCTATGAAAGGAAAAATGATTCCACCCTTCTCTACTTATTTCTTCGCTCACGGAATTAGTATAATTTGACCTTCCGAATGTCGATGTGCCTCGTATTCACCAGTGGCGTGGCGTGCTTCGCGATATATCGATTGATCTGCCACTTAAACCTATGGAAAAGGATCGATAATTAGGGTGCATTGATTCTTTACCATAGCTTCAAATGGGGAAATATACAGAATCGATCTTTCACGCCTCGTCACTGGTATTCACTGAATTGACGGACGAGTTCATACAGATTTTTTTTTACAAAAATGTGGAATTTTCACTGTAATGTATCAGTTACGAGTTTTCGTGGATCCCTCTTGTCAATCGAGACAAGACTTTGAGTCTCTGCCAATAATGAAGAGCATAGGAGTCACTTAAGCTTGGACAAGGAGGCATTCCATTGAAATTTTGTTTGTTATGCTCAATAAAATATCTTTGATTAGCAAACTTCCCTGTAAGGCAGAATTGAGGGCGTGCAAAATAATCTGCTTCTTCATTCATGTCTTTACATTGCTCAAGGTTTGAGATTTTTTTTTTTTAAATCGTTTACGAAAACTTTTATTCTTAATGGACTTACTGCAGTTGCTGGTGTCTGGTCTATTGGATTTTCCTTTAACTTAGAGCACTGTATCAACTTGTTTGCCTGATATTGTGGTAACTTGTCAGATGTCCACTTGTCTTTTGAATATTGGAAGTATTTATGTTTTCCCATGACCACTTCCTACCTTTCCACTTAATATAATTTTCAATCCTTATCTCGATTTTCTAGGCGAAAAACTTAAATATGGAAATGTATACTTATAACTAAAAAGAGAATTTTGAAAAATTGTAGAAGTTGAAAGTTTTGAGAAATAGTTTTTTTACACCTATTATTTACCGTAATGATATTAAATTTGTCTAGCCTAAAAATTGGAGCAATAGAAGAAACAATCGACCCAAAATGAGATCCAGCTACTAACCGAAAAATTCTAAAAGTTTAAACATGTAGAGACAAACAACATCAAACATGTATGTCTACATTATTTTTCAAAGGCGGAACACTGACAAGGCAGAGAATACTTCAATTCTAGACAAAATCCTGAACCACAGCTGATAAATGCATAATCGAGCATGCTGTGAGAACGGACACAAAAAGCAACAAAATTTGAATGAGACATAGATTGAAATTTTCTGAGATAACGAAGAGGGATTACCTTGTTCCTCGAATCGCCTTTGACATAACGAGCATTTGCAATCCCTTGGTGACCCCCCAGACCCAGACTCAAACGCCTCGCCCAAATCTGCAACAATTTTCCGCTATGTCAAGCATCGACCATGAAAGGAAGAGGGCAGCAAGGGAGGAAAAATTAGGAGAATAATTCTAATTCTCAATCCAATGACTAATTTAGGATAGCATTAAATTAACTATTAACTTTGAAAAAATGTTGGAACCTAGAATCATTCATTCACTTTATCTCACGTCATTTATAAGGCCTACTTTAGTTAAAGCTAACCTATGTACAGAGTCGTGCGAGATATAAAACTAACGGATTCCGTGACGGGAAGAGAGAAGAAAGGAGCAAGTGAATAATTTTAGGATGAAAGAAATCAGGATCTAAATTGAATGCAATCCTCTGGTGTAACCTGATAATTTCCTTTTATATATTCTATATTCGTACTGTTGCCTCTATCCTGGAAGTTTCTTCATCTCCGGCAAATGGGAAACAATAAAGAAAAAGCTGGGGGTGGGTGCAAGCAGCTAATAAGGAGAAGCGACAGAATTGAACGATAGCATCCATCTATGCCCCTCGCAAGAGCAAAGGGCAGCAGCAAAATATTTCGACACCAATTTTGTTCTTCCGAATAAAATAAAACGAAATAAACTATACCCTGGAAAATCGCATTCCTAGTCTAGATTGCCCGTTTGACCACACAATCTCAATTTTAGACCCAAAAGGAAGTCCCATATATTCCTCCTGAGGTTTAGTGTAAATCCACACATTGCAGATATGTCTAAAACTCAGGACTGATGCTGTGAGTTCAACTCTTTCCGTGGCCAAATGCAGCGAAAAGATTCGATGATTCCCTTTGTTTAGACTGGAGCAAGGAACGTTTCGACTCTCAACATGATATTTGGATGCTTCAGTAAGTTTCACTATTGTGGGAGGCAAAAATTTTCCAATTCCCTTCAAAAAGCAAGTGGTTCAACTCAAAATTGCTCTCGGGTCTAAGAAGTAAAAAATATAAGCGATGGAATGTGTGCTTCTTCATTATGGCAGTTGTGTGAGTTCCGTCGCTTTGACGTCGAAATAACTGTAAATCGCGCATTTTGCGATAGCATTAAACCAAACGTGCGCAACTGTTTGGGATGGGTGCGGTGCGGTGAGTTATGGATATTTTCATAACATTCATAATTGAAGAGTTAGGTGCATGAAGACTCTGAGGATCATGATAGTTTTTTCAGTTTGAATGTTTTGATTTTCTATATTCCAAAGAAAATCTGTTCAGAATGTCATACTCCTGAGATAAAAATATGACCAAGACATGAGGACTTGAATGGAGAAAATTGACCGTATTTTGGAGCACCAACATCCACACCCGAATGTCACATAAATTTCTCTACTTGAATTTTCTTCTTTTCTCAGGAGTTCAGGGGCATGTATACTTCTAATATCACATCATCTGCAATTGAAAAACATCCTCTTAAGAGGCGCGCGCGCAGCGTCTGGAGGGTCAGACTGCAGAGCAGTCAGGTGTTATTTTAGGCGCCCCCCAGTAATTAATCACAATCAGGCGCATACCTCAACCTTTGAATGTTAAACATGCTACAGTCTTGAGTATTGAAATGTATAATAATATACTAGTTGGACTCCAGCAATGATATGACGTCAATTATCACAGTGTTGAAACGTTAATTTACATTAAACAAAGTCACATTTTGACACTCAGTTTGAATTAGTTTCAGCGTCTCATTGTCACGTATTGAAACTGCTTAGTAATCGATTCTTCCCGACAGTGCACACCTTTTAAGTGTAAAATGACGTGAAACAGAATTAAAGCGCTTAACAACATTCAATCTCATTGGTTTCAAATTATTTGAATTTCAGCAAACCGTCATTTTGTCGCACACAACAAAATAAGAAGTTTGTTACAGAAGCTAGGAAAATTGCCCTCCTCTGAAACTAGAAGAGTTCCGTGGCCGCTCCTCAGTGCAGAGTTAATTTTAATTCAGTGTAAAGTTAATTTTGTTTTTATTAATTTCTCACTCTACCAGTGACCCATTCGCGTGGCATTCTAAAGATATTAGTCATCAAAGTGCCACCGAGTTGTGCGTTTTCATTTATTCGGATCTTAGTTAAATGAAAACCTGGATTGACGATTCGGCGATCATCCTAAGGAAGGAGCCATTTATTACCTATCAAAGCTAAATTTCTCTTTGCAAGATCCCCTTCTCAATCCTTTTAATATACGTTTGTGAAATGATGCAATGGCAAATGCGAAAAAATAAATGCCATTTTTGAGAGAAATTTGTTTATAGACTCTGACGTGAAGAAATTTTAAAATTGATATAGCCCTCTGATCCTTCCGGAAAGAAAAGAGTAAATCTGCGACGTCGTGAATCTGGCATGTATTAATATCACCGTGAAAAATAATATTTATGGTCCGAAAAAAAATTAACACATTTAGCAGTGCTGTCCCTTTGCACTGTTTAAAAGCCAAAGATACATTTTTTAACACTACCGACAGGCAATTGAACAAACTTTCAAAAAAATAAGTGGAAGAATTATTTCCGACGAACTCCAGTTCCTTCTGCTAAATACTACTGAGCTAGAATTAATTGATTCAAACTACAGGAATAGAAAATTTTGTCCTAATTCAAGAAAATTTTATTTTGGGTGCTCGAATATTTTCCCGTTGGAGAGATAAGGTTTTTTTTAGTTACATTTTATTATTTTGCCGGGTTCTATAATTTTATTATAGGTTTTATTGTGCCTATTTGCTTTCTTATTTATAAACTTGAGGCTTATTTTGTTTTGCCGGAATTATTTTTATAATTCAAATGTTCAACGTTGGGCGGTGAATCTAAAAAAAAATTAAATTAGTATTGCAGAATGTCTGAGTTTTAGCAAAAATCTGGATGTATCTAAGACCTTTTGAAAAATATGGATCACCTCGCTTGAAAACTGTGGATTAACACCAGGAGTAGCTAGGGTGGTTACAGATAAAGAGATCCCTTCAAGAGCCACATTCAAGTTTATCCAACGAATTTTAGTCTCAACCAATTTACTTCCCTGCTTTGCAACAGATTATACATAATGTACATTACATGCTCATGGCGCAAAACCCAACGTGCAGTTTTCATTTGAAAAGTGAGGCAGCATTCCTCAAGCTGCATAGCATGCTGTTCCAAACCATCCACACACTCTCCAACAGCTCTACACCGTGGATTATACTGGGTGTCCGGATTTTAACGTATTTAACTTTCACAGGATCAATTTTCCGGCTCAATTTATGACTTTCTTTCTCCTCACATATACGCCCGAAAACGCTTCATAAGTGAGCTATGCGCTGTGCTTCCTTCCATTCCTTGCAGTAAAAATTGCCTACCCTGCAGGGAGCTTCCAAAATCTGCAAATTTTTCAAAGCTCTGCTACGTCGAAATGACGCGTATTGGGAAAATTGTGTGCAGTACCTTTTCCGCGCTAATTCACATGTCATAATCCGTTTTTCCAAATATCATCTACCAAAAATGTTATCTCAACTTTAAAATTCCGGAACGCCATTTTCCGATAACGTAAGTCCTTGAAAACACAAAAAATGAAAATTACGCTGAAACTACCCCCCTACACAAAATTACAGTTACACACGACAAAATTACTTGGATTACTTTGGATTTACTACAAAGAAAGTAAATAAACGGCAACTTTGGAGGCGCATACCTCACTTACGACAAAGCTTAAGTGTTTTCGGGCATACGAGTGTAGGAAGAAAATCACATTTTGAGCCGAAAAATATATCTTGAAAGTTAAGTACGTTAATTTCCGGACACCCTGTATATTTTAGAATTGGAATAGTGCCGGTGCGTTCTCGACATCATTTTGAAAATTTTTTCTTTCATCTCCTGCGTGCACGAGGTTGGTGGCTCACTTTTCAAGAACTGACCTATGTGGCGCATCAATTCCTTTGCAACTCTAATAAAGGTAGTGTGTAATTGCAAACTGTGCCCGCTTGTAGTTTAACTTGTAAGAGAATCCTATTGCTGGGGAAATTTTGAGGGACAAATATCAAACTTGTGTTAAAGATAACCATAAAACTTCGTTATACGTTTATATTTTTGTAGCACTACGCCTCACAAGAACCTTGGTTTGGTTATCGCACGAAAAAGGTACACGATCCAATGAACCGTCAATTGGAACGTTTTAGAATTTATGTTATTTTCATCTGTGTACCTACATGTTAAAATACTTTCTATAAAACGATTTCAGAAAATTTTCGAAATTTTCTGTAAGAAAGCTAACCGAAGAAGGCTCTGTCAATCGTTTATAAAACATTAAATATTTGAATTGAATATCTATGAATAATTTTGTAAAGTGTTACGAGAGATAGAGGCATGCCATATTATTTCTCACTACGGCTGAATTAGTAAGAGCTGAGTTCGAGATGCAAACAAAAAGGAGCGTGCAGGATAAAGCTACTACTCAAAGGTTAAAGAATGGTGGATTTCTACTGTAACAAAATCTACTGGTGATGGATGAAGGTACCTCTCCAACTGGCTTTCGTGGGGCAAGCTATCGTTTGATTCTGAATTAGATAGGCGTTGAGCGTTGTGAGCGACGGGGATTTCCGAAGAGTATCCTCATCGTTCTTCCAAACGTATGTTATCGCTGATTGCTCGTATGATACTGAAACGATGCAAACATATTATTAATACACCATTTTTCCCCCTTGTTTTTTCTATGAGAGTTCATACAGGGATATTGACATGCATGAACTATACGACAAAGAATGGTTTTGATGACCATTGGTTGATTTTTTATTCTTTTGGGTACCAGATGAGAAGTGGAATGGAAAAGCATTTTCTCTTTTTCGGCTATTCTAACTTAAATCCTAAAATTTTTGTTTGGGATTAAGTTCTTTTGATTTGAACCAAACGATACATGGAACCACTATCGAATGCGATCCATTGCCATTAAACTATGCTGCTTTTAAAAAGCACGACATACCTTGTCTCAGATGTAAGAAAATTGCTTCGCAGGACAGTCCAGATAGTTACGTAATTTAGGACCGGCCCCTAATTACATTTTCAAACATTCTGAGAGTCATGTGAAAATTTTCTCCGAGTTCGTAAGAATAATCAGAATTGGGCGATGCAAATAATACTGCTGCCGTGCTAAGCAATAACATCGTATGAGCATTCAAATGTCGCCAGATTTCCCCGCATGAAACATGTATTTTTGAGGAAAGTTATAGATATTTTCCAATGAAACTTCCAGATAGGTTAGATCGAATTGCGGACAAAATTGTCTGAAAAATTTAAAAGAAAATATTCTCAGTTTCCCTGGTAAATAAGGTTCTATGCGAGGAAATATGGCAACGTTTGAAGGCTCATACGGCGTTTCTCCTTAGCAAGTCAGAATGTGTGTTATTGCGCTTCCTACTCTATGCGCTATGATTTTTTCCAGTCCTTGCAGTAAAAATTGCCTATCCAGCAAGGATAATTTAGATCAAATTGCGGACAAAATTGTCCGAAAAATTTGAAAAAAATATGCTCAGTTTCCCTGGTGAAGTTGGTTTTATGTGATTAAATATGGCAAGGCCTGGAGGCTCATACAGCGTTTTTCCTCAGCATGCCAGAATGGGTGTAATTTTCCTCGGCTAAGCTGAGACGACGGGGGTTTGAATGAAGAGAGAAAGGGAGACGGAGGAAGATGGAAATGCCAAAGAGAGGCGGCACGGTCTCTGATCGATACAGCGATAGCGTGGCCGCTCTGTTCTCTCGAATAACAAATGTTAAAAATTCTGCAATGCATCGCACCCACGCCCATATCCGCATACTCGCACCCGCAGACAACCTTCCCGCTCATTGAACCGGCTAACGCCAGCCAAATCACACCTTTTTTGTTTACTCTCCTCTTGAGCCTACTCCACCTGAATCAATCCGTCCTTCTCGTTTCCCGCACTGAAAAAAAATTCTCGGCGTTTTTACCAAGATCCGTTGATACCTTCACCATCTCACTTTTTTTTTACCAATTATTGGTAATTTTACCAAGACAGACTGGTAAGCTCACCTGAAAACCGGGTTTTTACTGGTTTTTTTTTCAGGTAAGAATACCACTTTTATTGGTAATCAATTTCCGGTAACTTTGCCATTTTATCTCGGTAATTCTACCACAGTCGAAAAAAAGTATTGGCGTTTTTACCAAGGTCCAGGAAAATTACCGTGAAAGTTCAAAAATTTTACCGAGATTTCTCGGTAAAATTACCAATTCCATAAATGGTAGTTTTACCAAGAAAAAACTGGGATCAAAAAGAACCCTGAATTCTTGGTAATTTTACCCTTTTCTTAGTAAATACACCGAGATTTTTTCTTCAGTGCGGACAAAGTACAGTCCCTTTATAGAGAGGAATGAGACAACGCGGCTCATGGATGTCACAAATTGAATTAAGATTACACAAATCTGACGTTTTCTGTAATCTTTGATCAACCCATTCCCGAATTCCTATCTCCGTTCCCTCTCGCATAATTCCACTTGTTCCTTGCCGTGCTCCCAATTCCCCGGTCCATTCCGGTTTATAATCTTTGCAATCGGTGAAAGTGTAATCTCTATTCCGGTTTGTGACACTGTGAAGGCCTAAAATACGGAATCCAATCAGAAATGGGTTCGCTTTGTCTTTAATCTCAGTGTAAAGGGACTCTAGGACAAAGGAACGTATCTCCATTCCGACGTTGTAAAATTGACTCAAATAATTCAATTGTTTACCGGAGTGTACCAGTGCAATTTTTGTCCAAATTTTCCTCATTTTCGCATGATATCAGGAGAAAAATTGGTAGAATTTGCAACAAGACACGCCCAAGGCTCCTCTCAATAAAATAAAATTTGCGAGTGAAAATATGGCAATGTTGATATGTAGTTACATTCCTTTGTGAGGGGAACGATGAATCGGGTCGGAATGTGAGAATGTGGAATCAGCGGCGGAGCGTGAATGATCGGTTGTCGATACTTCCCCATTTGAAGCTATGCTAAAGAATCGATTATTAAGGTGTCCGTTGCCAACACCCTGTCTGTGTCTATCGATCCTTTGACATAGGTTTAAAGGGCATATTAATCGATATATCGCGAGGCACGCCACGCCACTGTGTGGAATACCTACTTTGAACTATATTCATGTCACAGGTTTCAATGGTATTAGGACAGATAGTTGTTCCTGTCCACGAACAGTTATACTGCCGTGCTAAGGAAAAACGCCGTATGAACCTTCAGGCATTGCCAATTTTCCTGTGATAAAATACGAATATAATGGAAAATTTTTAAATATGTTCCTTCCAATTTTTCAGACAATTTTGGTCAAAATTCAATATAAAATTTCGAGTAAAAATTTGTAAAGCTTCACGCGAAAACACAATTTTATACGGGGACATTTGGCAACTCTCGAATGTTCATACGGTGTTCTTCCTCAGCACGGCAGTATAGCACAACGTATAGTTCAGTGGCGTGGCATGAATTGCGATGTATCGATTGTTATGCCATTTAAACCTATGGAAAAGGATCGATAAACAGGGTGTTCGCAGTGAACACCTTAATAATCGATTCTTTACCATGTGTTTAAATGGCATAACAATCGATAATCGCAATTCTCGCCACGCCACTGGTATAGTTCCACGCTTTCACTAAAAGAAACAATTGGAATAAGTCATACGTAGAATCAATTGTGTTGCAAAATTGATATGATTGATTGTTGACCTGTTCGGGGATCTAATAGATTCAGAGCGGTGGCTAAAAAACAGCCGTATTTAAAAAAACGCGGTTTATTCTATCGCAGAACCTCATCTCGCTCTTCTTGTATAAAAAACAAAATCTTCCGTTCAGTTGCTCCTTTCAAAACAAGGCACTGACATGATTCGTTGTTTTCCGGATGAAAGAACGTAACTCCATTTCAAACTTACAAAAAAGATTCGAACAATTCAATATTTTCCAAGAAATGTACTTGTACAATTTGTGTCAAAGTTTCTCAGATTTTTGCATGAAATCAGAATGAAAAAAAAGTGAATTTTCCAGTTGAAAATACCAACAATTGACTTGGTAAAACTGCAAATTGCGAGGGAAAATGTGGCAAAATTGAAATGCAGTTACGGTCTTTCGCGAGGGGAACGACGTTCCTATTTTTCAAAAATTGTGCTCGTCATTATTTCTAACCAACTTCCTCTTCCACACAAACTTGTCTTAGTGCTTGTTATCAATAGAAGTTTATTTTTGTTGGACGAACTTTCTTTAAGCGCCTTTGAAATATTCACGCAATAAATTTGTTTTACTTGAGATAGACGTAAAATGTAACATTTCACATCGGGAGGAGCACTTAGCATGATAGAATCTACCGCTGCTCTTGAGACTGTTGAGCAAACTTATTCGAGTCATTATATAATAAATAGGAGTGAAGTTTCATAATTTGTCGCGGATACTTGGCGAATCGTAAACTTTTTCACTCCAACAAGCGTTCCGGGTCGTCGAATCTCAGGCTAGGTGCCTTTTTCGAAACATTAACGATTAGTTATTAAACAAATGTATTCCCAAAGGCATGCTGACATCGCTGCGCTGCGCTAGGAAAGGTTATCCTGGTAAATTTCCCGGAAATACTAATTAAAGAGGGATTGCTCCCATATGTTACCGACAACGAGAAAAAGGGGCCAAGGGGGAGGGTGTGGATTTTCAGAGGAGCGATTTTATTTCAAGTTGAGTCGAAAAAGTAGTTTTAGACACAAAGTTCGACAGAATCCAAGAGAGGATGGAAAAATGTATTCGGAATCAGACTAACTTAACAAATAAGCCACTAGTTAAGGCACGAAATGGATCATTCTGATTCATCCTTTCTCTTCAAAATCTCGCATATACAGCACGATTCACGCAGGGAGACTAACCAAATTTAACCCAAAAATAAGATGGGAAATTTTTTTACTGGACAATAGTTTCCAAATAAATTGAATCATATTGTTGCAAGTTGAATGCAACCAAGAGGAATTTTTTCCTCAGTAGTGGAAAAAAAGAAGGGGAGGTATGGTGTTTTAAATTAAGAAGCACAAATGAATAATACTTACTGCTTTCCATAGCGAATGAACACAGTGGGTCATCAAACGGAAATATATGCAGTCTACCTTGGCATGATAAAATTAGATGTCTCCTAGATGAAAAAAGGAAATAAATCAATGAGTACACTCAGAACACACTGAATCTCTGTGTATCAGTCACATAATGATATATTTCGAGGGGCTCGGAGGACAAGACGCATAAGTGCAGTTTTTGAAAAACTTGGGATGACAATACTTTCAAGTAAAACTAGTCTTGAAGCATACTCTGTGGAACATTCACTCCCAAATTCCAAATTGTAAGCATCAAAAAGTCAGTTCGAACTTTCTTTACTCGGTACACTCAAAAACAGGCATGACTCTGAGACTAATAAAAAATGGTTCGGAGATTCATAATTTCTAACCAAAGTGACTTACCATCTACAGCCATGTGCTTTCTGAGCCATACTTTATTGGTCGTGAACCTATAAGCATAGGGCTCCACGAACTATATTTTACGGCTCCATGATCCATAACTCGGCCGGCAAGTCACTCTTCCCATACTTGTTTTTTGAGTGTAAGGATTCATGTAATTTCAAACCTTCAAACACGTATTTCTCGAAATAGCAAAAACTGTACTTATTCGCCTTTTCTTCGAAGCCCCTCATTTGACCGAGTGGAAGCCATAATGGATAAAATTAAAAGTTAACCATGGAAAGGGAAACGGTGTAAATGTTGTTTCATTCAAAAACAAATGAATTTTTTGTCCATCATTCGACGTATGTACCCTCCGTGAATTTAACCTATTTTTACGTCGGAAAGTTGTTGACGGAAGTGTTCATATTTTATCCCTTTCAAGATCCCTAAAAAGCGCCGCCGGGTTTGAGAGTCGTTTTAATGAATTCCGACTCCCTCGAGAGATGCGCCTTTCCTCAGTTAATGAGAATTATGGATGGAACTTTTTGGGAAATTTGAAACAGCTATCACCTTTTCCGTCATCAACTGCTTCTGCAAAAGCCATTGAAAAAAGTAGGGCGGTGAATAATGAAAATACTACTTTGCACCCTTCCACAATTTTTGAAAGGGTAAAAATGTCGAATTTGACTAGGTATCCTTTCAGGCCGTTAAAGGGGTCATTTTGATAAACCTCAAAGTTATAACGGACAATTTTTGGAAAATCTCATCATCATTTTCTTACAGTAAATAGTATATAAGCACGGTTTTGAAGAGGGAAAATGTTCAGGTTTATTTTAAAATTATCGTAAAATTGGGCGAGCTATGATTGTCAATACCCAAGCAGCGCTCCTTCTATGCATCATGTCTTAAAATCTTAGTTAACCTATTTTCTGAATGAAGAAATTCCACTTCGTAACTGGCCTATTCATCAGTTCTTACAATATTATTTGAAGATAAAGCGAACTAAACCTGATACATGCATTTATTAAAATTTCAGGTATAATTTTTTATATTTGTGAGCCTGAATAATTGATATTAAAATTCGATATAAAGAGATTAGCAGGTTAGGTTTACTTACATAATCACAACGTAACTGAGACTTACCTCATTAAATAATTAACTGTACCATTTCTATAAATTCTAAGAGCAAAGTGGACTGGTATTAGAGGGTCCTTAAAATCACCGTGCATTATAAAATACGTGTCTGGAAGCCAGATGTCGCTATGATGATGTATGGCGTTCAGAAAATCATATTTGCTTTGATTCGAATACGTTAGCCTAGGATCATACCACTGTTGTTGTAATAAAAATTCTACTTCATATTTCTGGAAAAATAAATACAAAATATGCAGGTTAGCCACGCAAAATAAAATATATAGTATGTAAAATTTTCAACATTCAATGGTTAGTATTGTCTCATATTACGACGGTGTAAGTCGGCAATCACATAACTCGGTTTGCGACGTTGCAGACTTCCTGTCATACATTATTATTTAAATGGAAAACTACTCAACAGCAATTCTTCAAAAGTGTCATGATTTTTCTTCTCAATGCGAAGGAAATTGTGCAAAAACTTCAAGAAATAATGTCAATTTGTTCTCCTTTAAAAAAATGACGAAGAGGCAAAGATTTTCAGACACCGCGAACGAGTTATGCGATTGCCGACTTTCACCGTCATTTAGTCAAACAATCTCTATTTCAAAATGGTTCACCTATAATGCCCTGGAAAAACATAGTTTCATGACAACACAGGCCTGCAAAGCAAAAAAACGCACGGGATCTGTCAGGGTGATGCTAGATGTCAGAAATTCCGGTCATGATGTCAGAAAATCTGGTCACCAGTCTCAACATATCGAACGTGTAATTGAAATCATAAATATTAATAAATTAAAGAACTGCTCCATGGCACCCCTCGACTTGTGCGTTTTAGCTTAGTCCGTCTTTTTCAACATGGTCTCTCCGTTTTCCTATAATTTTCTCCTGAAGTTAATTTTATGGAGGACCTGAAATTAATTCGGGAAGATTTGACTCTTAACCATTGTGAAAGGTCGTCGAAAGTTCCTTCCATTACCAAAGGTAGATGCCGCCGTCCAGTGGCGTGGCGTGCTTTACGATGCATCGATTGTCCTGCCATTTAAACCTACGGTAAATAATCGATTATTTAGGTGTTCGCTGCGAACACCCTGATTATCGATCGTTTTTCATAGAATTAAATGGCATAACAATCGATACATCGCAACTTACGCCACGCCTCTGGTCGGAGCGAAACGCATCTCTTGGATCGACGCTGGCGTTGTTAGAGTACGTGTGCTTCCTAAACCCAAGCTTCAACGCGAATAAAAACGGAGCGAAAATCCCCCCTATCGCTATTCGTTTTATTCAGACTGGAAATCGCCCACATTTCCCCCATCTCGAAATTAGATTTCATGCCCGCTTGTGTATACCGTTCCATCCCGGAATTCGATGGTTTCCCATAACGCTTTGCCATGTTTAGACAATTGATGCATCTCTTAAGGAAAGTATCGTCTCCGCCCGAAACACCTGAGATTCAATGTTCAGTAGCTGATAGGGTACCTGCTGCAATGGTTACGTTTTAAAAATGTACATATTTTTTGGAAACGCGTACTACTTTAAACTAGAGTGGATTTCTGATAGAAAAGAGCAAGTCCACAAAACCAAATTTTATTCAAGAGGCATCACAGTGTTTTTCCATCAACTAGAATTTTTTTGGAATGTTCAAAGGACGTCTATAACAGCTATCAGAAAATCCTAATATATTTTGTTTAATGGAAACGATTTAAGGCTAATTTAAATTTACACACTCACGCTCTTTTTAAAGTGAATGATGGAAACTGAGACATTCTTAAGGATACACGTTGATTTAAAGTTAGTTACATTTTATAATGTTGTCAAAATATTTTGACAATATTTCAAAAATATTTTAAGAATATTTTTGTGCTATCTGGGATGCAGCTCTTAGAGCCTAAAAGGGTCTATGAGCCCGAATTATCCAGTGGTACTAATTTTCTCATTTCAACTGTTTACACTGATCAAAAATTATAGAAGCACGTATAAAACTTTGATTTTGCATTAATTTTCTCAGTTTCAATGTCTTGATCCTTTAGAACGCTTGTTTAGAATGCGCCGTCGGCCCTATTGATTAATCTTTCAAATGCATAGGCAGCGGCACTTTCTTAGTGATTTTCGTTTTTCACGTTGTCGCCCTTGTGAGCCCTAAGGGCTACAAAAAACTAGAGTCCCTTTATACCCAGAGTTACGACAACTCGATTATCAGCTGACTGACAGCCGGCCTTGGCTGGCCATGGAGGCCGAAACGAGTGCACCCAAACGAACGATATTGCGGGATAAGGATCAGGAATCCTGCGATGTCTGTCACACAGAAACAACAACATCAACAAATTGATNCCATAACGCTTTGCCATGTTTAGACAATTGATGCATCTCTTAAGGAAAGTATCGTCTCCGCCCGAAACACCTGAGATTCAATGTTCAGTAGCTGATAGGGTACCTGCTGCAATGGTTACGTTTTAAAAATGTACATATTTTTTGGAAACGCGTACTGCTTTAAACTAGAGTGGATTTCTGATAGAAAAGAGCAAGTCCACAAAACCAAATTTTATTCAAGAGGCATCACAGTGTTTTTCCATCAACTAGAATTTTTTTGGAATGTTCAAAGGACGTCTATAACAGCTATCAGAAAGTCCTAATATATTTGTTTAATGGAAACTATTTAAGGCTAATTTAAACTTACACACTCACGCTCTTTTTAAAGTGAATGATGGAAACTGAGACATTCTTAAGGATACACGTTGATTCAAAGTAAGTTACATTTTATAATGTTGTCAAAATATTTTGACAATATTTCAAAAATATTTTAAGAATATTTTTGTGCTATCTGGGATGCAGCTCTTAGAGCCTAAAAGGGTCTATGAGCTCGAATTATCCAGTGGTACTAATTTTCTCATTTCAACTATTTACACTGATCAAAAATTATAGAAGCACGTATAAAACTTTGATTTTGCATTAATTTTTTCAGTTTCAATGTCTTGATCCTTTAGAATGCTTGTTTAGAATGCGCCGTCGGCCCTATTGATTCATCTTTCAAATGCATAGGTTGGCAGCGGCACTTTTCTGGTGATTTTCGTTTTTCACGTTGTCGCCCTTGTGAGCCCTAAGGGCGACAAAAAACGAGTTGTCCATACTCTCCCTACAGAGGTGCTCAGGTTGAAATGCGAGAAAATAAGCGTATAAAATCCGGTTTCAGCATGCTATTTGGCGACAACTCGTTAAGCTGACTCGGGAGACAAAGCAAGGCGGAGAACGCGTCGACTTTTTAAGTTGCGATACTCGAGTAATTGGCGGGTGATCTTTGAACCTGGATTTCTTTCTTTTCCATCGGTAATCCACTTAGTATCTAGTCAGAGTTTCAAGACTGCGGCAACAACCGCTGGAATTGGTGGAAAAAATGCGAATATGCCACGGGGTCCGGCGACGATGGATGCAGTGATTTTTGTCGCGACACTGACGAAGTGACCGAAGACTTACAAGTAAGCCCAACGTTGTTCTTCGTCGGCACCGCCGCGCCCAAAATGAAAATTCAAGTATAAACAAACCACAGACAGAGACCCGATCATTACGTCATACTCATCGATGCGCTGTAAAATAGGAAACTCATCGCAAAGAGACATATCGACGGCATAAGTCCGCAATCACAAATCTCGTTTGCCATGGAACTGGCGGGGTTGTAGAAAATTATAGTAAGAGAATTAAGGAAGTACAGAATAAGAGGTTATAGAAAATGTTTATCAATCTGGGTAAGCTTTTAGAGCTCTAAAGTGTAGCTTTGTTTTGATTATTTCGCTTTATAAATGTAAGAAAAATATTCACATGATTTTATAACACCTCCATTTTTTGAGGGGGGGAAAACGAGAACTTAAACTATTGCCGAGGCAAAAAAGAACGCCGTATGAGTCCTCAGACATTGCAATATTCTCCCTCACTAAAAAACGAATTTATTGGGGAAATTTTATTTATTTTTCTTCAAATTTTTATACAATTTTGTTCGCAAGTTAATCTAAGATTTCTGAAAATTTCAAGTTAAAATATGCCCATTTTCCAGTAAAATACTGATGTTATCCCGGAGAATATGGCAACTCTAGAATGTTCATACGGCGTTTTTTCTCAGCATGGCAGCATAACACTTATATTTCGACGGCGTAAGTCGGCAATCAGTCAATCACATAACTCGTTTGCGGGGTCTGAAAATCTCCGCCTCTATATTGTTTTTTAAAGGAGAACAAATTGGCATCATTCCTTTAAGTTTTTGCAGAATTTTCTTCGCCGAGAGACGGCAAATCACGGCAGTTTTACGGAATGGTCGTTGGGTAGTTTTCCGTTTAAAAAATAAAGTATGGCAGGAAGTCTGCGACGTCGCAAACCGAGTTATGTGATTGCCGACTTACACCGTCGATATTCGTTAAGAAACGCTTTTCGTTCCTTTCGGCGTAAAAATGTCACCTTGGCCTCTTTGAAAGTTTTTCAGCACTATTTTTTCAGAAAGAACAAAATTTTAGTTTTTTTTTGGTGCGTACTTTTTAGTTTGTTTCATTTGTACCATAGAGTATAATTTCTCATAAAACTCTACTAAAAATACCCCCCTTAAAAGGTAAAAGGGCTCCTTATTACACGAAGCAAGCCTTTAAATTTCAACTCAAATGAAAAAAAAAATCGACTTACCAAACTAGATTCGTCTGGCGATGCCAAACTGAGGAGAAGGACACTCATATTTACAGTCAGTGTTCCTGAAATAGTAAAAAAAACGCACAATTGGTCAAAAGTAATTTTTTGATGCGTGAAAGTTCAATTCATGAGAAAGGAACCAGTTCATCTTCATTTGAGATTGTAATTCACCCGACTTTACAAAGAGAATTCTTTTACGTGGCTTAAAGGTCAATAAATTATCAAGATAGACTTTATTTCTGCTCTTTGGGGTTTAAGAAAAACAAGTGGCAATCTATTCCTGAGTGCGATAACAAGTCCTGAACACGTGGATAGTCTGAAGCATTCGGAAATCAAATTTCCTTTCAGTAGACTGGTAACGGAAGAGAGGCTGGCAAAAAATACGCTTGATTGGGTTCCTCCTGGGAGGAGACGAAGGGGACGCCCCGTGAAAGGTTGGCGACAGGGGGTTATGGATGAGATGAGGGGGTGCCAACTCCCTGATGACCTGTGGGAGGACCGAGTTTTGTGGCGGTTAGGCGTCGCAGAGCGCCAGAGAGCGCTGTGAGAGCGACTCTTATGTATGTAAACTGGTATCTTCAGGTGACTGGCTTTTTTCATCTATCACAGCCGAAAAATCTCGGCGAGCCAAAAGGTTAGGGGACGTGCCCAACCGAAACCCCACTCATTTGACGTCACAGGTTAAAAAATGAATTTATTCCATGCATGTAGGAGCGAATCTGTGAATGCAAATCCTAAGTTGAATTCGAAACGTTGATAGCTTAATTAGGGAACTACGAGATTGCGTCGGGAGTTTATCAATTAAATTCTTTGAGTGCCTCGTCAACTCGGTCACCAAGCGTGACGTCATTCGGAATCCCGGTGGCGTGGCGTGCTTTGCGATCTATCGATATATCCCCATTAGAAGCTTTGGTAAATAATCGATTGTTAAGGTGTTCGCTGCGAACACCCTGTTTATCGATACTTTTCCATAGATTTAAATGGCCGATCAATCGATGTATCGCAAAGTACGACACGCCACTGCGGAATCCCTCTGGTTATTTACATATTTTTAACACATTTGCATCTAACTTATATAGTTAAACTTTCGAGTAGACTTTCCGAAGTTTGAGAGCTTCACTTGACACAAACCGATGTACCCGAGCGTGCCTTAAGCGCCTTCGTGACAATATCTAGCTGGGAGCTTCTCCTTTGTATTACTCAAAAACTAAATTACAGTAACTTATTTGCACCATGCTAACGTGAGCCTCTAAAACAGAAAATTAATTTTATTCTGCGTACGTGTACAAAAACAAAGCTTTCACGCAATGCTTCTCACTAATGTAAAGACGAAAGTGTTCAAGCGAAGGAGAACGAGTCAATTGAAAATCATAACAATCAACACAAATTGCAAAATCATAACAAAAGAGTTTCAATATTGCAGTGTTCTCATTTGTTTGCAACATTTTTTACACTAATGTTGAAATCTCATTAAAACGAACTACAGTCTTAAGGCTCCTTGCAGGTTCACCACATTCAGGAGAAATATTTGCGTAGTTTTTCAAAAAACAAATTGCAGCTAGGTGCTGCAAAAAAAAACTACAGCTGAATTTAAAGCATTTAAGCACCTTTAAGCATATTTACCGATGTCCATTTCAACTGAATTAATTGCGAATATCTCTTTGCACTGTATTAAGTGTATTACGTGTAGGCATAAGTGAAACTGATAAGGGCTTTTTTAAGAGAATGAGAAAACCAAGACTCAAATTTTCATGAAAGCGTCAGGTAAAGGTGAATTTTAAACTTAAATATAGCGATAAGAGGAAATAAGCTCCAGGGTTAATTTTGTACGTCTCAAAGCATACCAAGAGACGAATTTTAGGAGCAATAACTACTATCTCAATTTCTTCGAAAGAACCACCGTATCCGTGTTACATTTGGACGTACCTCTATCAAAAAGAACTATGTGCAGAGGAAAAGATGGGGTGTGCTCGATGGTGCTCGTGCAATAAGAATGAATGGGAAATATAAAGCGCCAGTGACGTCAGCGGCAACGACGAGAGAAACGACGATCGGGGCGGTCTTTAACTCATGAGCCCTGTCCACAACGATCTTGTCACACGCCCAAAGCTCATGGGTGCCGCACTCAGTTGGCTCACAGTTCCATTTGCTGAATTGGAGAAGCGGGATTTCACGTTCTGTCAGACGGAACTATGTGCACAGTGTATGAGCCGTGGGCATGTACCGAGAGCCTTGTGGACAGGGCTCACGAGTTAAAGACCGCCTTTTCGATCGGCGTTTCTCTCGTCGTTGCTAGAGTACCTTTATAGACAGAGTATGGCCATTCGTATCTTTTTACTACAGGAAAACTGTTCCGCTTTTTGATTGGTCAGCGAGTTTTTAGGCTTCATGATGCTCTTAGGGCCGTATATAAACAAACAAGATGGCGGCTCACGGCAACATCGATAAGAAGCTAAATTTGACAAAAATCTCAATTATGCGGCAGTAACAATTTAAACTAGCATATCTACGAATAACACACGAAAAACAAATGAAAACATTATTGAATCGCCTTTCACCTTTATCACAGGAGGATGTAAGATGTGCATAACCTCAATCTTCCTTGCTGATAACAGCCATCTTGTTTGTTTATTTACGGCCCTAAGAGCATCGTGTCAGCCTATTCGCTCGCAACAAATGAAAAACCGGAACAGAAATGGCCATACTCTGTCTATAAAGGTACTCTAGTCGTTGCCGCTGACGTCACTGGCGCTTTATATTTCCCATTCATTCTTGTGCCCCGACCATCAACGAGCACACCCCGTCTTTCCCTTTGCACATAGTTCCGTTTGATAGAAGCACGTCCATTTTATTTTAACCCTCGCCGTGTGTCAGTTCACGAAAACAACATGGAAATAGCTTTTAGCTGCAGTACAGCTGGCAAACTTAAGGCGTTGTCATTTCCTGCTTCCCTGCAACTTTAATGGTTGGCGATTAGGATGGAGGTGGGGTCGGGCGGTGGAGGGTGGGGGCGGAGGAGATGAGGAGAGAGGGTGCGATGCGTCGAGTCTCGGTCTTGCGTGTGGCCGATTGACCTGCTTTCATAGCACGAATTCATCAATTAATCATTGAATTTAGTTTTTTCCCAACACAGCTCAACGACCAGACTCTCAGAGTATAATGCTGCGACGCAAAGGACACTTCATGAGCAAGTGCAAAGAGGGGCTTTTATCATCGCTCCTCTGGCAGAGGGGCGTATCGCGAATTTGGCTTGAGCCCCATAAAGCATGGATTTATACGTAAAATAGGGCTCTCAAGAAATAGAGATGCGCCATTATGTCAAGAGAGCGACGCACTATGGTCCAAAACTTAATCATAGGAATAAATAAATCGGACAACGACTGAAGGAACACGAAAGTTTCATAACTGACGTTTTTTGAGTCGCTATTTTGGAATTTGGTGTCAAATTGCCAACATTTTTATACCCTGACCTATTAATTGTGGGCAAATTTATGGAGCGCTGCGGCGCGGCGAGCCGCCACCTTGAAACGCGCACTGACGCCTACAAACCTAAGTGGATACTTCAAGCATTGCGCAATGCGTGAAGTATCCACTTAGGTTTGTAGGCGCCAGTGCGCGTTTCGCGCTGGCAGGACACCGCTACGTTATGTTGTTTGAATACCTGATTCCAAATGCCGTTTAATAGGCAAGACACCGGATTACCAATAAACCATAAAAAATATAAATTTTACCACGTTAAACTTAATACGTTCATACCTGAACCACTTACATCAATTACCACTTCTGCTACCACTTAAGCAAATTATTATGACAAAAAAAAAACTATAAATAAAAATAAACTTAAAGTAAGGAAACCGCGGTCTCTATTCATTTTATTTATACATTTATACATATTTAAGTGGTGATTTATTAATACTCGCATATACATTATTGCGTACATTCCTAGACATGCTCAGAAGATGTAGGTATTTTCGAATCACGATTAGATACCACATTAATGAAATTTAGATCTCTGATTTATGATTTTCATTTCACCAGGTACGAGTGATCAAAGTTGATTTTAAAATGAGATATGTCTCCTCCTTGCCAAGCATATCTTTTTTACGATATTGATGCATCAGGATTTGCGAGAATATAGAAGCTTTTAATTGACATTGCCATGTCGCAAAACGCTGTATAGCTTCCAGGAGATTTTACTTCTTTAAACTTTTCTCAAAGCGCAAAAAGGCAAAATTTCCATTAAACTTTCCCCACACATACAATCAAATTATATTTCACAGCATAGCACAGCTGCGAGAAGAGAAAACTTTCAAGTGACGTCACAGTCAAGTTTTCATTCAACCTCTTGTCTAAGTGACGGCGGCAGTTGGATATACGAGGGAGGTTGGATGAAAATTTGCGTTCAATTTTACAGAGAGCTGAAGCTAACACCTCCATTGAAATTTAACAACTGTCTTGAGTGCTTCCTTAACACTAGCATTCAATTTTTGTTTTTAGCTTTATTGTGTTCCAGAAGATAGAATAACGGTGTTTACTCTCATGCAGAAAACCAATTATATGAGGTTTGAATATCTCAAAAAAACTGATTTATAATTCAGCTTTGTCATAATGTAAATAAGATAAAAATTACACGGTCGCTTGCAAATTCCTTTTAATCTCACTTTATGTACAGTGTGTATATTTCTAATCATGTAGAAGGTCATTAAATCAATAGAAAAATAAAAAAAGTTTAGCTCAGCCAGTGGCGAATGGGTCAGTTGTGCTGGTTAAAGAATCCTGTTTTTCTGCTTGATTCTTGTAGATTAGATCCATCCAAACAGCAACTTTCCAAGTTCAATATTAACGGAGATATCGCTCTTTGAAAAGTCAGGTCTTTGACGTCACTCACCGCGGTAGTGACACCCTCGGTTTCTTGTACCTTGCTCTCACCAGTCAGGGTGGCACACATATGCACCGGTTACTCAAACGTGAAACTCGAATGAAAGCGTGGTGGAAGAAACCAAGGGTGTCACCACAGCGGTGGATGACGTCAAAACCAGACTTTTCAACGGGCAATGTCTCTTTTAATATTCAGTATAGAAAGTTGCTCTTAAGACAGATCTCAGTATTAATAGCTAAGCAAGCATGAAAATACGATTAGATCTGATTCTTTTTAGCTAATCAATCATCAAAATACGATTCTGTGACCAGCTCAACTGACCCATTGGAACAGGGACCCAAATGTAATAATACCTAATTGTATTGAATGGGAGAATTTTTTGGTTAAATTTGGTTTTACATAGTCCGGTCGTGCAACGTCGATGCAGAGAAAACAGGACGAAGCAAAGAGACGGAGAGAACGGAAAAGAAGATAAGTTGTGAACAGAACTTACCGACAACTGGAGGTAAAAGTCTTTTGTCGTAGCGAGTGGCTAGCAACAAATTATCCAGGATTTCCTTGTCTGATTTTCCTTCGCCGAAACTGGAAAACAAATTACACAGAGATACATCACCAACGTGCTTTCCTCACTCGGGAACGAATTTTTATTACAGATGCTCCTATCATTTGCAGAATTTGAAATGAGCCTTTCCGACAATTTATCTTATTGTTCTTAAAAGGCATACTGACTGACATTAATACTGCCGTGCTAAGGAAAAACGCCGTGTGATCCTTTAGACGTTGCCGGAATTCCTTCGGTAAAAACCGTATTTACTGCACTGGAAAAAAAGTCGCTTGGATCTAGAATCCAGGCTCTTAAAAACACTGACAAGAAAAAATACTCTTGATTCGATCGGATTTTTGCTTAGATTGAGAACCAAGCCGAAAATGAATCCGAAAAGAAAGTCTCTGAAAGCTGAATGAATCCTGAAGCTGAAAAGAAATCCGCTTAAATCAAGAGATTTAAGCGGATTTCTTTTTGATTCAAGCAAAAATGTGATCGAATCGAGAGTATTTTTTCTTGTCATTTTTTCCAAGAGTCTGGACTCTAGATCCAAGATACTTTTTTTCCAGTGTATGGGAAAATTTTGAATATTTTTCTTCAATTTTTTTCGGAAAATTTGGCTCGCGTTTTTTTTTAAATATCCGAAAATTTCAAGGGAAAATGTAAATAAGTTTCCTCAAAAGTATACATTGTATACACGGAAATTCGGCAATCCTCGGATGAACATACGGCGTTTTTCCTTATCACGGCAAAATAGCACTCTTCTCTCATTGCCACAATCTCAAGATTCGACGCGATGTGTTTCGCTACATTACTTTTCTTTGTTACAAATGCAAGTTTTTTTGCAGCGAGCAACTATTTGATGTCTCTCGGCCTGATGATCAGTGCACCCTGCACCCCACTAATGAGTTATTATTGGACCCTTTACCAGGGGTTGAGTTTGATTAAATTTTGCAATAAGGATTCACTATCTCTGGCTCTCCCACTAAACCACATATTTGCATTCGGAAACCAATGGCGTGTATGTTGTTTCTAAAATGGGCCAAAAATAGTGGTTCCTAATTGCAAAATGTAATCTAGTTGTGCTCGTAGCAGCTAAGAATTGAGCATCACTACAATATTACGAACCGCTTCCAATTCAGTAAAAACTAATAGACATTTAATTTATGTATATATTATGGTCAAACCGCAAAATTCGGGCTCATTGCGATTTGCCCGTGCCAATCCCAAAATTTGCGATTTGCCAACCGTTATTTGGGCACATTACGAAATAGTTAAAAAAATTCGGCGTCTTTACTGGCAAAATAAACGATGCCGTCTCTTTACGTCAAAATTTTCCTCTGATGTAAGTCTTTTTTTCGCGGGTGAGAATTCACTCTCATTAGCTCTTGCTTCTTGATTTCATTTATTTTCCGATAAATTGTATTCGAATATTTTTGTCTGCACTCTGAATGGACCGTTTCATCAATTTTACCTAGCCATTCTTCAAACTTAGTTTCTCTCCTACGTTTCTACAATTTCTTTCAAATCTAATGCTGTATCATCGTATCTAATCTCCCCAAACATAGTTCGGCCACCGGTCGGCGCGGGGCGCATATAAGCGCCTACAAAAGTGCAGGAATACTTCACGCTTTGCGCCTAACGCAGTGCGGTCGCTGGTCGGCGCGGAAAGCATATTAGCGCCTACAAAAGTGCAGGAATACTTCACACATTGCGCCAAACACAGTGCGATCGCTAGTCGGCGAAAAACGCGAATGAGCATTCCTGAGAAAAGTGTCCGATTTGACCTCCAAAAAACTAAAAATTTAACTTGATTACTTTGGATCGAGGGTTTCTTTTTCTATAGTCAAGTATAGAATGAGGATTAAAAATTGAATACGGGTACCTTCTTTTGCCCATCTTTTTATACACAAAATATCAGCTATGACGTGACACGGTCAAACCAGAGACTCATCATATACAGCATCTGCCATTATGCGGACCGCATAGCGATCCAGGGGCGGACCCCTTAGTAAAATAATAGGCACTATGTTCTATTGGAAAGTTTATGCTCTTCCATTTCAGTGAGAACAATTAATTTCCTCAGACTCGTCGATTTTAAGCTAATTGTAGATTGCGTAGGAAAAGCGCGATTTCAAGCAAAATTCGACGATCCCAGCCGCAGAGAACTGCCGCGATATCTCATGAACCGGAAGTCACAAATAAATAAATGCACCAAGTTCTTTGTAGGCAATTTTGTGCGGACAGCCGATTCCGGTAAACTTTTGTTATGTTGTACTAGTGAACTGTTTCAACATGTTTCCTCAAGGAAAGCTTCTATGTTTATGTGTTAATTTCCCCAGAAAATGCTAGATTGACTGGATTAAGAGGCCCCATTTTGAATTTTATTTTTTAGAATTTACTATCGAGAGGAATCATTTCCCGGTCACTGCGCCACCTACGGCTCATCCGAAATTTGACTTGATAGGTTTGTCTTAATTTTGAGAGTAACACGAGATAAGATAGAGATTATTTTCCGAAAGCCGATGGTTGTACAATTTCTTTGTTTGCTTATGCAACAAAATTACAAATGGTTTCCAACGGTATCATTTATTTTTCTCTTGGCAATAAAAAGCGGAGAGCTGAAATCGGAACTGTAAATGCATCTGGGATTCGCTCGCTCACCGCTCGTGTCATGAACAATTCGCGATCCCAAATGAATTCACATTTGTTATTCACTGGACTTTCATCTGTTGGAATTTATGTCAACAGCAGACGGACAGCTTGTCAGATCGTTTCGATATGATTCTACAATTAATAACACAAAGAGGAGAATGAATATATTTAGTCTGAAATTGTTTTACTGAATGCCACTTATCTGAGATGGTAACCTTATGACGCAAAATATCTTCTAATTAATTTAAATTCCTTTCACATAATGAAATGGACCTGTTGGCCGCAAACAAGACAGCCGACTGCGTTACCAGTGGGGTGGCGTGAATTAAGATATCGACGGTGAAACTACCAAACCACGTATCTCGGTTTGCGACGTCGCAGACTTCCTGTCATACTTTATTTTTTAAATGAAAAACTACTTAACATCCAGTCTTGAAAATTTCTGTGATTTTTCCTCTTTGTGCGGAGAAAATTCCGTGAAAATTTCAAGGAATGATATTGATTTGGTCTACTTCAAAAAAATAAAATGTGAGCGTAGATTTTTAAACACCGCAAACGAGATACGTGGTTTGGTAGTTTCACCGTCGATATATCGATTGTTATGCCATTTAAACCTATGGTAAAGAATCGATTATTAAGGTGTTTGCTGCGCTGCTGTAGGTCGCACGGTGGACTGAGTTAATCAGGGAAGTCGGACATGAAACTTTTAACTAAAACTGCATACTTTAATGTTTAATTTGTTACATTTTAAATTTTAAGGGGGGCTTTTGTGGGAAAATTTCACGAGAAAATCAACGGAAGCACTTTTAAAACCCCAAAGCTTTGTATAAACGGAGATATGAGCTTTTTCAAGTTTCAAAATTTTGTCCGATCTCCTCCATTGACTCGATTCATTGTGCGTCGGGGCGCGAAATGTCATATTCGCGAACAGAATTGGCAACGTCGCGGGTCAAGTTCGGATCAGAGTCTTGATTTCTATGTATCACAGAACGCTGTTACATTTACGGTCCTAAAAAATATGACAGATCATCGTGCATTGTCAAGTTTAACGTTGTATACATAGTACTGCTAAATTATTTTTATTTAATAAATCTTCAGGACGAGTGACGTTTGTAAACAGATGGCGCTGTCGATTTTCTCCAACCTCATATACATCGACGGTGAATATGAGAAGAATACCAATCTCGAAGGCGAATCCAGCAACTTGGCAACACCGGATTCCCTCGATTTAAACCTATGTTCAATAATCGATTCTTGTTGGAGCACCTGGCCCCTCCAAGAATTGATATATTCCCTGGTAAAAATTGGCAGTAGAATCTGTGTTCCAAAATACCATAGACCTACAGCCGGCTGTAAGATTTCCAATAGCTTCTATAGCCGGCAACACAATTTCTTATACCATTTTATAGCCGATGGCGACTAAGCAACAGCCAGGCGATAAAGTGTATGCTAAACGTTACTAATTACGGATGCTAGGACTTAGTGAGTTTTTGGAATACTGCTGTCTTTTCAGGCCGTGGTATCTTGATTTATTTTGCGAGGCAAGCTCCGTGCGTTTGATGGATGCCTGCCATTCCTAATATGTTGAAGCGCCTTCAATTTCGTACGATACTGTGCAATACCTCTGGTGTGAAATAGTTGCTTCAAGCGCCGTGGCGCCTTCAAACCTAACAGGGATACTTCACGCATTGCGCAGTGCGTGAAGTATCCCTGTTAGGTTTGTAGGCGCCAGTGCGCCGCCGCTCCACTTTGTGTTAGGCTCTAATATTTAATCTCGTAGAGTCAGCGTTGTTCAACTCATGACTTTGAAATGCTTGCACACTCTGTATGGATTATTCTCATTTTAACAAATATGTAGTAAAGGAAAATATAATGTGCGTTTTGTAAATATTATGGTGATTCCGTACAAACTTGCGGATTTACAAAGCACACGAATTTCTACACAATTTCTTATAGCCATTTATAGCCGATGGCGAAAAAGCAACAGCCAGGCGATAAAGTGTAAAGCCCGGTGACAGGAACTTAAGCTCGGCTGTTTAATTTTTTATCGCTTCGTGTAGCCTGGCCGTATGATTTTTTCCACTTTCTACAGCCATCTATATGATTTTTTATCGCCTTCTTCAGTCGGCTATAAGAACTCCTGTGGTATTTTGAAACGCAGCTCCTATCGCCAATTTTTACCAGGGTTTCCATGGGTTTAAATGGAGAAAAAAAATTTGCCGATTTGCTGGATTCGCCAATGAAATATCTTTCGGGGCGTCCTTTACCTCTGTGTGTAAACGTTCGAAAGTTCCGCGGACACCTGCTTCCTGAATGCTTCAGACATAAAGCTGACTCGCTCTCTACTAAGGGTAGAGGTTGATATCCTGACCGGGTAAGTTTCCACATTATGCAGGAGTCATGAATATATTTCCCGGCCAAGTTGCCAGACTTCCATCGTGAAATTCAGCCTCGCAATACAAACGTGCTCATACCATTTTAACCCGTAGGGCTTGCATGTACCCGGTGAGAAAAAATCCAGCTGATTGTAAAAATCGGATTGTTGAAATTGATAGACAAAGCTATGGACAAAGAAAACAGGGAGTATGGAGCGCTCTTATTGGTTGAAACGGGTGGTTCTCATGGACTAAAGGGGGTAAATGATGGACTAACTATAGGGTCTTTCCTTGGTTGATGTTAGTTGGTCCATTACCTATCTCCTTTGTCCATCGCTACCATGCACTTCCAACGATAGGATCCCTCCATATACCTTTTTGGCTTCTCTGTCCATAGTTTTGTCTATCAGTTTCAACAATCAGCCCGCTGCTTGTATAAAAATTATTGAAATTAAAGCGCTGGGTGCAGATTGGGCATTTCTTGGTTGCAGTGTCTCAAGTTTCCGCTGAAATTTATCAATTATTATAAAAACAAATGTATGCAATGTGTCGTAGCTTTTTACTGAAGATATTCTTTATGATTTTATAGTTCTGGAAACGTAAAATTTTAGGAAATTCACCCAAATAGTTTCCTTTCTAAACTAAAAATTAGCTCCAGAGATTTTTCTCTTATTTTTATTAGCAAGTCTGCGGTTACTTTTCCTTAATTTTATGAAAATTATTAAAAATATGAATTCAATTTTCTTGACTTTTATGAAAAGCCTTTTTACCGTCAATCTTGAGAGTATTGAAGTCTAACTAACGCAGTCCTTAGGTCCCAATCAGTTGAAAGTAAGCATGACTCGATTCTATCGAAAATGAAAATACGGAATAAATATGAAACCGAAAACTTACATGTCAGAGGCTGCCCCATATGTATAGAGAGCCTCTATATTAATTGTACTTAGAATCACAAAAAATAAGATGGCCGCTTGGAGCAGCTTATCTAACTGCTCCATGTTAGGACATCTGAAACAAAGGAGAGAGAAAAATTAGAATGAAAGCGGTGTTAAAATTTGGTATTTAAATGAAATGTTGATGAAACTATTATATACGAGTATAACTAAAGGTCAGATTTAAATTGACGTGACAACGCGTGCAGTCTTGATCTTGAAGCAACTGGCTGCTATGGTGTAAATTAAGATATATTGATATGGTCGTTTTTTAACTCCTTCTCTCAGACTGGGACTGAATATTTCGAGGTTTGAGTCGAAAAGTGTCGATTTCCGGAGGTTGACAGCATTGTTTTTCCTCCATTTAGAGTGATTCGATGGACGCCATAATAGATCGTATTCGATACATCAAACGGGTGAGATTGTATCGATATCGATTGGTTCAAAACATAAACATAGCCTCAAAAGTAAATTCAGAAATCTGAGGAAACGGGTCTTTTGTAACAGATGTTTTATTCTTTTGAGCACCAAATGCCAATGTAATGTGAAATTGTTAGAAATTTTCTCATTTTCAGCTTTTCCTACTTAAATCATTTTAGTTTGGTTTGAGGTTATGTTCTATTGTTTTGAACCAAACGATACATCTAACCGTTATCGAATACGGTCTATTTGTGTCAGAACGACATGCGATATATCGCATCGATGGGTTCCATTTTTCCAGCTACTCGTCGTTTTTCTCGAATTTTGAGATCGCAATTCTGTTGCCAGGAAACTTTATAATTTCACTTACCGATTTTGACAAACAAATTCAACGGTATAAAGGCGTGTTTTTTTTTTAGAGAGAAAATATCCACAGGAAAAAAAAGGCGCTTGGATCTAGCGTCTAGACTCGTAAAAAGATTGTCAAGAAAAAATACTCTTGATTCAATCGGATTTTTCCTTGAATCAAAGAGCCAAGCCTCTTAGTTAGTTTAAGCGGATTTCTTTTGAATTCAAGGAAAAATCCGATTGAATCAAGAGTATTTCTTCTTGTCAATCTTTTTAAGAGTCTAGACACTAGATCCAAGCGACTTCTTTTTTCCAGCGTCACATTCGAGTGCAGTATTGATATTAGTATCGAATGCGATATTTTTCCTCTAAAAGAACCACGCCTTTATTACGTTGGATTTTTTTTGTCAAAGTTGGTATGTGAATTCTTTAGTCTCCTGACAATAGAATTGCAATCTCAAAATTCGAGAAAAATGATGAGGAGCTGAAAAAGTGGAACCAATCGATGCGATAAATCGCATTTCGTTCTGACACAAAATGTGGCGTCCCTCGAATCACCTTAAATATATAACAAATATTGATTCCAAGAAAGGCAGCGTGCCTCACCTAGAATCGTTTATTTTACATAAATTCAAACGGAAAAAAAATCCGTGTTGCCAACTTTGAGATCCACCAGGGGTGCACCACACAATAAGCACATCTAAGCTGCTATAAGGAATCGATTTTTGAGGCGTCCTTTGCGAACATCCTGTCTATCGATCCTTTCCAGGTTTAATAGGTATCAATCGATGTATCGAAAAGCACGCTCCTCACCCGTCCAGCGCCCTCGTTTTTAAAAGATTGTTTCTTACACTGAAAGGTCAAGATGAACGGAGGGAATTGTAAGGGTATTTAGAGATATGAAGAAACGGGGAGTTGAAAGGAGGGAGAAACGTGAAGAGGAAATGTTGTTTCGCAAAGGCTCACACAGTGAATATTCATGACTGAATCCAGTATCCAGCTTCGTTAATAGGCGAGTGGAAAGACGAGCCGAATTTCCACCGAACCCGGCCTCGCCTCGGCGCGACCCTCCTAGGATTCCGCCAAGTTAAAAATTATATCCGTGTCATCTTTTTCGTTCTTATTTTGCTCTCGCAGCTTGTTAAGTCAAGAGAGAAATGGTCAAGAAGACTTCCCCTCCGGCTCTGCGACGCTCCCCTCTCGCCTTCGCGTTGTCAGACAGTGCTGCCATTTATTTTACGGAAGATTCCGGGGTTTCCGGAATTAATTCCGATCTCCTGAAGTTCCGAGAAGAATTCCGATTTTTTCAAAAGTTCCGGGAAAAACTCCGAAATACGCCCGGATTTTGCCGCGAAAAACGTAGAATTTCAAAAAACATCATAGAATACGATCGGATTAACGGTCACTTTGACGGAAACCACCAAAATTCCGGGAAAATTTCAAAAATAGCTGAAAATTCCGGGAAGTTTGAAGATTCCGAGGAAAGTCCCGCTTATTTGGAAAGTTCCGAAATCCGGAATAATTTCCGGGAATTGGCAGCAGTGTTGTCGAATGCGCGAGGTTTCAGGTCCTCTCTTGTCGACGTCATGCAAACCGAGAAAAGACGAGGCCGATTTTATAATTTTTATAACCACATGACAGATATAAATGAGCGGGAAAGTTCAAATATGTCCGTTAGAGTACCTTTATAGGGAGAGTCACTGCGATTGTCACCTCTAATTGGCTCAGCCATCTTAAGTTGGATGGAGTCTTTCAGGACCCAAAAATGGCGGACGTTATGAGTAAATGTAAATACAAAATGACTCAAAGTCTACTCTATATGAAATGGTAAGCTCAGGTGCCCGTAACGCCAAAAACCCCTAACCTAACCGTGCCGTTGGCGTGTTCACTACCCCTTCCAAATCTTTCTTTCCTTTTCCCATGTATTGCATCACCCCTGAGTCACAACTGAAATTTTAAAACTATTTAAGCAACTGTATTTGATGTATTCTCCTGGACCCTGGCATAAACAGCCTTAACTGTTGATGACCTTAATAAACTAACCGACTATTTTAGGGAGGAAGGACATGACTTAAACTTGGATCGCATTTAGCATAAAGGAACCAGCGTGAGTACAGTGTTGTAAAAATGTCGTCTCTCCATAATTATCTATAAAATCTCCCAGAATAGCAAATAGTTTTTTCTTCCCACCAAAAAATTGTTAATCCCAGTGAAAAATAATTGTGTAAATTTGAATACTGTACATATATTAAGTATTTTTTAAAGATAAGGAGAAATAACACGGGTTTGAAAACATTATAACCGCGATGGTTCCTTTTTGCTAAATGCGATCCACTTATGGTATTCTCTTAGACCGCGGTGCTATACCTATTAAAAATGGTCAATTTTCAACTATTTCTTAACTTCACCGAAAACGAATTCTCGGCGTTTTTACCAATTATTGGTGATTTTACTAAGACAGACTGGTAAGCTTACCTGAAAACCGGTATTTTTACTGTTTTTTTCAGGTAAGAATACTACTTTTATTGGTAATCAATTCCCGGTTACTTTGCCGTTTTATCTCGGTAATTCTACCACAGTCGATAAAAAATATTGGCGTTTTTACCAAAGTCCAGTAAAATTACCGAGAAAGTTCAATAATTCTACCGAGATTTCTTGGTAAAATTACCAATTCCATAAATGATAATTTTACCAAGAAAAAACTGGGATCAAATAGAACCCTGAATTCTTGGTAACTTTACCCTTTTCCAAGTAGATACACCGAGATTTTTTTTCAGTGTTCTCTCAGACGGCGGTGCTATGCCTATTAAAAATGGTCAATTTTCAACTATTTGTTAACTTTCTGCTCTTTTTGGTAAGACGGCAGAACTGGCATCATAGGTGGGGAAAAATGCGAGGAGAGATCCCTGAAACTCGGAGATATTACCCGAGTAGATCCCAAGGCGCCTGAACTGGCATCGAACATGGCTATATCCAGCTTCCTTAATTTGCCTGCGCGCGGCGGCGAAGATCCCGCATCTGCACCCGCTGAGACAACGCTACAGACAACTTTCCAGAATAAAGATGAGGAACCCAACACAACTCTTATAACCCTTCAAAGTGACAAGTTTGAGTAACAAGCAATTTAAAAATGAGATCCTTCCCGCACCTTCTGTTTCATGTTTGCAAATCCAATCAATTTGAAAGGCACTTCTTAGAAGCATCGCAACTCGGAAAAGGGGTTCACCACGCCATCGATCTCTGAGTGAATCATAGGGGTTTTAGACAAATTTTACCATGCGAGTCACTGATTCCGCCCCAATTTTTTGTTTGATTACTGTTGGTTGCTACCGGGTTTGTGGATTCTAATTGGTGCGATTTATCACGGGTTTTTTTTGGTTTCTGTGTGTCGCACTAGGTAATTTTAAAATTTCCTAGGAAACACCTAGATCTGTAGAACATTTTGCTTGATACAAAAAAACTGCATACTTAGATGAAACTAGAAAAATTATATTGAATGACACATTTCCTGTGTTTTTTTGCTGATCTGCTACGGAACAAACGGGTACTAGGTAGTGCCGCCTTGTCTCTATTTCTTCAGAATACATCAGGATGGGTAAAAAGAGGAGCCGACATGGCTAAAACTGATCCACCTCTTAATTTGAGTTTTGGTGCAACGCGGCTTCCAGGACTTTATGTCCACCTTCCTTTCGTCCATTAAATATATGTCCACCGCTATTTATGTCCACTAAGCGTTAAGTCCAGTCTTTATTAAGTCCACATGATTTAATGTCCAACCATGAATATATCCAAAATTGTCCAAATTGTGGACATGTTATGTCCACATTTTTTTCTTCTCATTTAAATGACAGGAATCACCTCAAAAATAAATGCATACTACTACTACCTTCATTCTTAAAAACATTTCGTTCATGATTCAAGTCATGAAAGAGAACAGACTCTAAGAGCAGATAAAAACATATGTTCATGTGTAAACTGTACGGATATGATAAAATAAAAACCAAAGCGGGAGCCCAGGAAACGCTCCAATGCCAAATTAAACATTTTTCAGTAACAGATGCAGTCAAAATTGAAAGTCCTCTTTAACTAGTTATTTCGTGCGCCTTCAATCTTGTAGGATACTGTGCAACGCCTCTGACGTGAGATAGTTGCTTAAAGCGTTGCGGCGCGGCAGACAACCAACGTGACACGCGCATAGGCGCCTACAAACCTAACCGGATACTTCACGCGTTGCGCAATGCGTGAAGTATCCCGTTAGGTTTGTAGGCGCCAGTGCGCGTTCTCCGCTGCTAACACGCCGCTCCGCTC